TGGCTCCGGTATAGATAAGTAACTAGGGTCCAAAAGGGCAGTGGCTCCGGTATAGATAAGTAACTAGGATCCAAAAGGGCAGTGGCTCCGGTATAGATAAGTAACTAGGGTCCAAAAGGGCAGTGGCTCCGGTATAGATAAGTAACTAGGATCCAAAAGGGCAGTGGCTCCGGTATAGATAAGAATGAAAGTGACACTAACAAGAGTGTTCAAAGCTAAACCAGTGCTTGACAGCACTTGATGTCAAGATACTGGCCCAGATGGACAAATGAGCCAAGCCAAGTACCATGCTCCACAATGTGTTGCTGCAAGTGACGAGACTGACCAGACACAATAATAATTTCTAACTGTAACAACACAACCATTGTGATAATACACTAACCAGTGAAACCACAAGTCTAACCCACCCCCAATTAGCACTGTAGAGTTGTGTATACATCATGAGTGACATACAGCTACACTCTGAAGAAACAATATTTTTAAGTTCAGTGAAATCTATAGTAGAGTCACTTGTAATTATAATAACAAATATTTACATTCGCTCCCATTGAAGCTGTGTAAACCGTGACTGCGTATACATTACCGTATACGCAGTGAGATTCCTTGGAGACCATTGATTCCTATTGATGACGTAATTTACATTGTGACGTCATAATGGTAAAGTTGGAAATCCATCGCTGCTCGCAGGCTGTAGGCTGTTCATTTGTTTGGATTTACGCACGTTACGGAGGCTTTGTACCATTATAAAAGCAAATGTATTGGAGTTAGCTTTATTCTGAGTGTACCATCATAGTACGAAAATGTGTAAATATAAGAATACATTCGTTGCCAACTGCGTTCATACTACCGTATACGCAGTCAAAATGAAGGTCAATCCTAATGTGAACACGGTATATTAGTCAGCGATGTATTTATTGTCAAAGAAATAACGCTTGTTATGTGCAGCTGTCGTGTGCGGCGATCAGGTTGACCTTAAATATTATGCCCAACTCCTATCGCCCTTGTGAATAAGTTAAGGCGATTCTGTATCAGAAATACATTAGGAGGAGCCATATGCCTTTTATTGCCAATGTTTCTGGGTATTCTTCTGCTAGATCCTTTCCAATCGTTAACAGGACAGAACAAAATGTCATAAGCCTAGCATCAGACTCAATCAGAGTGTGGTACCATTTTCTGTCATATAAAGTACCAGACAATCAAAGTGCCCATGGCACTGGAGGATTGGCATCATCAATGTGTTTTTTTCTCTATCGATTTCATCCTGAATGGACAGGTTTCACAATGATGTCCCTATGCTTTTATGTGGAATGAAACAATACAAATCTGGGCCCATCTCACTCCTTTTACATTTTATTTTATTTTATTTATTTTACAGTTTTACTTTATGCCTGTATTCTTAACATAACTGAAGTAATAGCAAGCATGTCTTCTTTTCACTACACACTATCCATTCTATAATTTGATTTGACTATGATACGGCTTTCTCTGGCATGGTAAACATAACCAAATTGATACTCTTAACATTTATGGTGAGATTCATAATGCTGTAACATAATCATTTTTGAAAACTTTATCAGATAAGCACAGCCAGAGAAAGGAATCTTTAAATACCACGAAAGTCACCATTGCTCAAATAAAGGCAAACGATCATGTGTTCATGCATTTTGCTTTTGGTTTCAAAAATTCACCCAATTCAATGTAGCCATACATGTACTTTCTTGGCCGTGTCATCCCCGGCTGGTGAGCCCTATCAAGTCCCAACATGCAGTATTTTGATATTTATTTTGAGATGCAATACTATTAAACATGATGTTAGACAATAGTTAAAGGAGTATTTGGTTAATTTAGTTCAAGTGCTATTAATTATAATTTTTAAAGTGTAACTTGGAAGAAAAATATACTTACTTATGAAAACAAATCAGTTTTGATCGCATTTCTTGGAAGGTGAAAGATAAAATGTGGTTAAAAAGATATAATTTTAGAAATACAAATGTTATTATATATTTAATGCTTTTCAAAGAAGTTAAATATGGAAATTAAACCAAAAGAATCCAATAAAAAGTAGCCTCAGTGATGCATTATTTTTCTAGAAATCAAATGTGTCTGAAGGATGGAACTGAATAGCTCACTGCTGCAAGCTTTCGACACTAACATAAGACTGGAGTCGCGAGGCCCCTGAAATTCAGAAAAGGCCCCCTCATCTTCTGTCATCACTCATCAATGACCCAGCTGGTCCCCAGCTTTTTTTGGATGTTACATTCCTGATCTTTTGCTTACCTTTTAACTAATAAGTATAATTTTATCTTTCACATTCCAAGAAATCTGTCCTTAAAAAAATTGATGACTGGTGTAGGGGGAGCCATGCCATACTTAATTGTACATAGTGAATAAAGTACAGGACCCAATTTTACTATGTAACACTCCAGCATCTCAAAAGGTACTCCCACACAAAATACAGTAATTGTAAACGACAGAGCACTAACTGACCGGTTGACTGACAGACTGACCGACAGACTGACCAGCTGACAGAGTGGCTGACGTATTTACTAATTTTAAAAGGAAATTATGCAAAACTAGTTCCCTTTGGTAGTTTCAGTGGAGGACAAATTATGATGAAAAAAATAATGACAATACAGTATATATAGTTAATATTTAAAACTTCACAGGAACATGAAGACTGTACCTTGTCGTTTTCTGAAATCCACGGTCTGAAACATTTTGGCTTCTGGGTTTTCTATAGGGTCAAACCCAAACTTGCACCACAAGCAGCGCCAAGGTCCACTCAAATAGTAAAACCCTGTCAGAGGTAGTAGGTACTTCAGCTTCTTCTTGTATTTATGAAAATGTAGGTTCAAAGCTGCCCTAGACCAAATTGGTCGCTCCTTAAAAAGCTAAAAGATCAAAGAACATTTAAGAAATATACAATCAAGCAAAAATGTTGGTATACGGTAAGGTTATGCGATGTTACCTTAACAAGAGGCCCAGCGACCTGTACGTATCGCTCACCTGGATATTTAAACAGTCATAGCAAAATATTCTCATTAGATATTATACAGTACTACAAATATTTCAAAATATTGGCTCTGTCTCTCAGCAACACCCTTACATTATTGGGTCCCATCCCTATGTCCCCATTGGGGTGGGGATATGGTTTATACAACATTGAATCATAATGGGCCAAGGACACTCTATATCAAACTAGATTTAGATAAAGCTATAAGATAAAAATCCATACCTATAGTTCTTGGTTATTCAAAACAACCTGTTACAAGATTTGAACACGTTTTACCACAGTGACCTTGAAAGTCTTACAAAGTTATTCAGTTAAAAATACTTGGAAGTCCTTAATCCCAAATATCATCACCCTGTGGCTCTTATATAATTAGTTATTCAGACCTATGACCTTGAAAGTAGGTAAAGGTCATGCCTTTCACTTCTTCAAAAGACACTGTCTGCAGTTTTTACCATATCTATCCATTGTGACCTTGAAAGTATACGTTGGTTGAGGTAATTTTTTAATCGTCAACTTTGTCGGGCCCCATCCGTGGAAGCTACCAGAGAAATGTAATGATATGATTCTATAACTTTTGCTTCTTCAGAAGAAGTTGTTTGAATTGTTTGACAAATTTATCCCTGTAACCTTATAAGTAGGTCAAGGTCATTTTCATCCTCAGACTTTCTTGGCTCTAACCAACAAGTTACCAGCCAAATATGAATCTATGCCTTCCGATACTTCAAAAGAAGTTGATTGAAGTGTTTGACATATTTGACTTTTATGTCTTTGAAAGTAAGTCAGGGTCATTTTCATTCTCAAAGTTTGTGGGGCTCTATCCGAAGAAGCTACCAGCCACATATTCTGATTCTATTCCTTTTAATTATTCAGAAAAAAAATATTTTAAGTGTTTAACATATTTGATCCTTGTGACCTTGAAAGTAGTTCAAGGTAATTTTCATTTGCAAACTTGTTGTCCTCTATCCTAAGAGGATACAATCCAAATACATTGATTCTAAACTTTTCAGTTCTTAAGAAGAATTTGTTTGAAGCATTTAACCTATTTGATCTCTGTGACTTTGAAAGTAAGTTGAGGTCATTTTCATTCACAAACTTTGTTATGCTCAATCCAAGGCAACTACCAGCCAAATATAAAGATTCTATAACTTTCAGTTCTTAAGAAGAAGTCATTTGAAGTGTTGTTGACATCTGTGACCTTGAAAGTAGGTTCAGGTCATTTTCATTCACAAACGTTGTTGGGGCTCTATCCAAAGAAACCACCAGCCAAATATTATGATTCAATGCCTTTCGATTATTCAGAAGAAGTCTTTCGATGTTTTTGACATATTTGACCCCTGTGACCTTGAAAGTAGGTTAAGGTCGTTTTTCATTCTCAAGCTTTGTCAGGCTCTGATCAAGGAAGCTCTTAGCCAAATATCATTAATCTAGGCCTGTCCATTTTTCTTAACAAGACCGGCAGGTGAGCTAAAAAGTCTATCATTTGTGGTATAGACAAAATTAAATTATTCTAATATAGCTAAAAGTCTTTAATAATAATAAGACTACAGCAGGGGGATCTATATGTTCATTTGATGCCAAGTATTATATATTTAGTATTGCTGTAATTGTTTCGCAACTGAAGATACAGGAGATTTATGGACAAATGTAAGGAAATATGCACAAAAACAATGGAAAAAAGAAACTGACAATATGCACAACCACATGCAAACAAATGTTCATAGAAAGAGAATCTTTAAAGTTAAACTGAGTATAAAAGATTTTACCTCCCTAACATTTTTATGTGTACCAAAGAGAATTGGTGGACAAGATTTTGACTTCCATATCAAAATAATTATAAATGAGGATGACCCAATATATAATGGGGGCATGAGATATGAAATTAGATAATCAAAATCAAAATCAAGATGTAGAAGTATAATTTGGTGAATGCAGATGAAACAATGATATATACAGGGTCACGATATATACAGGGTCACGATATATACAGAGTCACGATNGTCACGATATATAGGGTCACGATATATACAGGGTCACGATATATACAGAGTCACGATATATATAGGGTCACGATATATATAGGGTCACGATATATACAGGGTCACAATATATACAGGGTCACGATATATATAGGGTCATGATATATACAGGGTCACGATATATACAGGGTCACGATGTATATAGGGTCACAATATATATAGGATCACGATATATACAGGGTCACGATATATATAGGGTCACGATATATACAGGATCACGATATATACAGGGTCACGATATATATAGGGTCACGATATATATAGGGTCACGATATATATAGGGTGACGATATATATAGGGTCACGATATATACAGGGTCACGATATATATAGGGTGACGATATATATAGGGTCACGATATATACAGGGTCACGATATATATAGGCCTTAATTCAGTGCATTTTGTCTTCCCAAAATATGTACATGTAAGAACCCAAAGTTTGGTGAAAAAAAGGCAAACGTCTGGAAAAAGATGTTATGCTTTGTACAAACTCGGTATCAAAAAGCCACGACAGGGCCTTAACATTATATATACATGTGCTATTGTGTGACACTTCAATATGTGACACTCCCTTTTCCCATGATACACAGGTATAGAATGGTTGGTGAACATAAGTGAGATAGCAAAGAAGATATTCTCTTGACAAATTTTGGTAGAAGATAACAACAAAGGGCTATAACTTTCATAAAAATACACACAAAATTCAAAAACATTAACTTGTTCAAACTATATATAATACAATGGAAATTTATGGGACAGTTTGTCTACATACAATTATCATTCAGACAAGAATTGCACGTAATTATATGTCTCGCCTGTTCCCACTATGAGCGTAAGATTCAATGTGTCAAGCATTGTAAGCTGGAGCCGAAGTTCGGAATTTTACATTTTATAAATAAGTTTGGCAATACATCGACCATCTTGTCAGATCAGAAAACGGATGCTGCGGTTGAGTTCACAGTGTGAAAATACACTTAGGCCTACATGTACATACAGATTTTTTAGCGAAATCCAACAATAACTGAATTTTGACCAATCAGAAACCAATATACAGTGGTCATTTTGCAAATTCAGAAAACTGATGTTGCGACTGAGTTCGCAGTGACAAAATCAACTACATATAAAATTTGAGCGAAATCGAACAATATCTGAATTTCGTCCAATCAGAAGCAATTATACTGCGGCCATGTTCGTTGTCTGATTACGTTAAAACATTGATGTTGTAACCTGTAAGATGGTAATGATCATCCCAACCTACAGTCTAAGTTTAATTAGTCTAACACTTCAAATGTTTGAGATACAGCATAAAACACACAGCTAAACGCAAAAACCTAACATTGATGAAGATGCTGTCAAAGTCACTGGACCATGAAATGTAGGGCACATTCAGCAACTGATGCATGAATTGAGGTGAAGTATATAAGACGCACGTATGGTACAAGTTTGGTTGGTCTAGCACTTAAAACTTTTTGAGAAAAAGCTAAATGCAAAAACTTAACGTTGACGCTGCCACTGCCATCGGAAAAGTAACAGCTAAGTCCCGCCTCCACAACATTCGTCACAGGGCGAGACAAAAAGGAGAGCATTAAAGAGGATATATTAACAAAGGCACAGACATCAACTTACACCGGTGTACCATAGAGAGACAAATTGTCAACAGGCATATAAAATGACATTCGGCTGATGAGTGACGGATATATACAAGCTACTATTTAAACTTGACGTGTATTCCTGATAGTTGGTCTGTATTTATGGATATTCAATTAAAGATAAATTTCTGTTACTCAACCAGTCAGCTTCAGCCGGTTCTCTGGTTAGAAACTCCATTCATTAAATACTGTCTGGAAAGCTGACTAATTACCTGTTCAAGTTTTTGTTCAGCCTCTGGATTGTTGTACTTGGACCTCAGAGCGGCCACGACTTTCTCCGACACATGGGTTGGAACATGATCTCCAAAACTACAGAACTGCGTAAAAATGGTCCTCTTCTGGCGCACTATGTAAAACAAACCAGGATTAATCAAATCCTAGATATTTTCCAGCAAAAAAGTCCCATTCTCACAAAACTACTAAAAAAGGTATTTAATTTTCAGGATGAATAATGGACATTTTTGAAAAAAATTATGTACCATTATTTTCTCTTTGGTCTTTTTTATGATACAAAAACATTTTGCGGTTATTTGAATTTTCTTTGCTATGCTTATCACCTAATTAACTAGATCAAAGAAAAATCCCAATCCTCAGATTGACAATATTTAATACAAAAATTTACTACACAAAAGGTCCTCTGCTCATCAGATATATATTTTATCAAAATTTTGTCTATTGTACTGTTACAAATCATGAAAGTGCTGAAGGTAGCAACTCATGATCACTACCTATAACAAAAACAATCCTTCAGTAGATAAGTCTTAAATTAACAATTCAGCCACATAGTTTACAAAATAATGTTAAGAAAATATGAGTATATAAATCTAGAAAAGGCACCTTTAGGAAAGATTTTTTTTCCATTAAAGCTTGAAAAATGCTGTCTTCAATATAGCACCTTGTTAATTCAAAATTCTGTATTTTACATGAATGTGTTGTCTCCCTTCGATTACAAATTTGTCTTGAATCAATGTTTTCTCTCCTTTTCTGAGAAAACTGTACATGAGGTGAAATAATATTTACCAGAACAAAAACCCTATCGTTCTGATATCATATTTAAGAGTGACTGAATCCATGCCAATTTGCAGTTTATCTGGCCATGGGGTAGCTTAAATACAAGTTCTCGTGAACAAGCCTTTGGTACCTGTGCCAATAAGGTTTTGAGGACGGTTGCGGTCAGGGTTGACGTAGCCAGGTCTGTGTTCGATATCCTTCCGGAGGAGGTAAGTCTTGTCGGGAAAGTCCATCCTGGAGAAGCTGCTTGGGGGTAGGAAGAGTGAGCAGCCATTATCTAGAAACTCACGCCGGTCACACAACTTGTTGAGAACCAGTTTTTCAGTCAGGCTGGTATAACTCTGGTCTGGCTGTCGAGTCATAGGCAGATACTGGTAGTCTACCATGGCTGGAACAGGTGTTTCAGATGTGATGGAAGTAAAATTACATGGTTATCATTTTTACTTTATTAACTTGTAAAAAAATATTTTATTACTCAATAACATCATTACTTGTTCACCTATTAGTTTAAGATGATGATCTCACATTTTTCATAATTTATGAAGGGCCTTAACCAATTTTACAATGCAATACCCTCATCCACCAAAGATGATTCTGACCAAGTTTAAATAATTTTCTGCTGAAAATGAATAAAATATACCCAAAAGTGTTATTTCCCTATATAAACTTTACCCCCTCCCCAAGGGAGAAGGGATGGCTCAGGGGTCCTGAAATTTACAATTTCAATAAAACTCCTGATGTTCTTTCTATCCATTCACTGAAATTGACTGTAGTACCTCCGAGTCTGGAGAAGAAGGTTTTTGAAATATTGGTAATTTTTCCCTTTGTGGCCCGCCCTGGCCCCTAGGGTTGGGGTAGGAATCCCAATTTTACATTTTAAAACAATCTTCCTCCAAGGATAATTCTCACCAAGTAAGAATAATTTCATACAGAAAATTGTAAAAATATACACAAAAGTGTTATTTCCCTATATAAACTATAGTAAACTTTACCCCCTCCCACAGGGAGAAGGGATAGTTTGTGGGTCTTGAAATTTACAATTTAAATAAAGCCCCTGATGATCTTTCCAACCATGCAGAGAAAATGACTGTAGTGCCTCTCAGTCTGGAGAAGAAGATTTTTGAAATATTGGTTAATTTTCCCTTTGGGGGGGGCCCACCCTGGCCCCAGGGGTTGGGGTAGGAATCCCAATTTTACAATTTTGTAGCCTCATCTACCAAGGATGATTCTGACCAAGTTTGAAAAAATTCCATCCATTGGTTCTTGAGAAGAAATTGAAAATGTAAAAAGTTTACACACGATGCACAACGACGACGGAAAGTGAAAGCTCAGGTGACCTAACAATAGAACTATCTGGTTTAAGCGAAATAATTTTCAGTAAAAAGGACTGAATGTTAAAAGATTACAAAATCTTTACCTTGGAATTTATAAGTGATTTCAATAACCCCAATGACCTCCATATTGTACTTAGATTCTTCTGGCTTGCCTTTCCTCCATCTTCTCTTTATCTTCATCAATAAATTAGTTGTGGGGTATCTTTCTCCATACACTGCCTTACAGTAAATGTCCTTAGGTCTCCAACGTAAAGCAATGCGTTTGTTGGTATTGCTGAATGACTGTAAATTTCAGACAAATGCATTGATGTAATAGGCTTATATCTGGTTTCATACATTTTAAAACCTACTTTAGTACTGATTTCATTAATTAAAAAATCCTTAATTAAAATCGAAGTTTTCTTTAGATCAAATATGCGAGACTAAAACAAATCACAATGAAAGTCAGAAACCCTAAATATCCTTTCAACTTTTAAACTGATGGCTTTGTTGTGCACAAACAGGTCTCTGGAATCAAACACTAACAAGAGTTATCTCCTGCACTGGAAGAAGAAAACACTAACAAGAGTTATCTCCTGCACTGGAAGAAGAAAACACTAACAAGAGTTATCTCCTGCACTGGAAGAAGAAAACACTAACAAGAGTTATCTCCCACACTGGAAGAAGAAAACACTAAGAAGAGTTATCTCCTGCACTGGAAGAAGAAAACAAAATTAGGAAGCTACAGCTGCTATTCTATTAAAAATCTTCAGTACATGTCAATACAGCAATATTGTATAGTTCAATAAACGATATTGTGGTGCTTTTTGGGAGAGTTATCTCCCTTTGAACACTGACCCTGATGATGTATATTGATCATGCTAACATTGCTGTGCTGTCTTGGCACATTCTCTTAGCATCCTGACTACTGGCTGATCAACATGTGAGGTTTTCCAAAGAGCTCGTCTCAGACCCAATATAGAAACAATGTGAGGGTAATAACAATATAGTTTGCTACAATGTCCACATTTTATATCTAAATATCCCTGTATCAGTTACCTGTCAAAACAGAAAACGGTCTGTAAAATTTTACAAACACAAATTAATGATGCTTGTCAGAACAAGGTTTCCTAAGCATAGACTGTGGATAAATGCAAGGGTGTATGCCAGGCAAGGGGATTCCCAAACTTTGGTTGTAAATACTGTAGTTGTGTCTTCAGGAGCGAAGACTTAGAAAAAGGAGGGAGGAATGTAGTGGAACTGGACGTGGTCGATCGTCTGCGACCAGGTAGCTCAATTTGGAGAGCATCCATCTTGAGTTTGAAGGGTCCCAGATTCGAACCCTGGTCTGGCTGTGCATGTTCCATCTCCTGTTACACATGTATCAGACTTGGAAATCCTCAGAACATAATATATGATTTTAATTAAATAAAAAATAACTAAGGATGATTTGTATTAAAACAAAATATATATTAAGATTTCTACATTTTTTTCAACAATTCTGAGCAAACCTTCAGTCAAATTGTCCCATTTGTTAATGGAAATATATGTATGTGTTGCATTTCCTTTTAAACAGTGAAAGTTTACATTGTTACCATGTTATAGCAGCTGGATTGGGCCAGGTATTGGACCAGGGCCCATATTTATGAAACCGTTCTCATGCTCAAGCATGGATTTTGTGCTCAAGCCTATTTTTTGTTTCGTTTATAAATTATCAATAAATATTATTTTGTCAATGATTTGGAAACACAAATAAAAAAACTTAACCAAATACTGTTTTCAATGTTTAGATTTGACGTTTTGATCGTTTGAAATGATTTAAACAAGTTACAAGAAAGTTAGTTTGAGCACAAAAATCCATGTTTGAGCATGAGAATGGTTTCATGAATACGGGCCCCGGACTGGAACAATCAATGTAGATCCTTTGTTTTTAGTATATGCATCCCTTTAGAGTTTGGAGGTACCTGGCCCTCTTGTGTTTTCTCTTCTGTCTATAGTGGTGCTTTTTAAGCTGAATAGCCAACACTTTTTCAGTCCACTTTAATTGGCAAGGGAATACTCAAACTTTAGCCTTTTGCTCCAGGTTAAAGGCTAAGAAAAAAAGAGACTCAGGTTGGTAGCAGGATTTGGCTAGGTGACTGGGAGGTATCGGTAGTCAGGTCCAGTACTAGTACACTCTGCCAATTAAGCTATATAGCTATAAAGACCTACATAGCTATATTCACCTATAAATTATAGCTGTATTGAGCAATATTTTCTAAGATTTCAATTTTCATTAAATTAAAGCAAAGTCACATAAAACAATAAGGTTGATGGTAATGTTGACTACAAAAAGCATACATTTAGATGTTTATTTTCATTTTTCATAAATGTAAAATTTTCGATTTTTTTTACATCATTACTTTTTAAAAAGAATACTTATATTTAATGTCTTGTTATCAACCAAATGATTAAATCTTCTTTTAAAAGCGACTTTTGTTTTGTTTTCCTTAAAAAAGAAAATCACATGAAAATAGCCCCAAAGACCTTTTTCAGATAGGTCAATAGAGCTATTATAGGTCATTACAGCTATATATAGCTCAATCGGCAGAGTCATGTACTGGACCTGGTAGTTCACGATCAGTTGGTAAGATCTGGGGTTCAAAACCTGGTGTGATTCCTCGGCCGTTGCATTTTATATGGTGTCAGGTTGTTTACCCCTTAATTCCATTCGCCACAGATTTTAATAATTAAAAATATTTCAGCTGATATATATAACTCAAAAGTAAATATTGACATAAGGCGAAACATCCTTGGGACGAATTAATTTAGGGCGAAACGACCCGTTGTGCGAACGGGATTTAGGGCGAAATGACTCGTTGTGCGAACGGGATTTAGGGCGAAATGACTCGGATCCATCCAAGGACATACTGCATGCTGACTTGAATATTAAAACTAAATACAAAGCAAAAGTCGCATTCATAACATTTGATCCCCAAATAAAGAACACTGTGAGCTGATCTAGAGTGTCAATGATTGATACCTTGGACAATTCTTCACACCCTCCAAGTGTTGCCAACGCTTTATCAACATCGTTAACAATGGCTGGATGTTCTACCGACACAAGTTTGACGTCTTTTACAAACGGGACTTTTGTTAAAGCCTCTCCATCTGACCACTCTGTGTCTGTAACAGGGTCCTTTGAACCTGGCGGTTCGGCCATGTTTGTTGATGTTTTTCTTACTCTCAAACCAATCACTAATAACTTTTATTATAATGTATAATACATAAAATGATACATAACTATGATAAAACACGTAACTCATAATCATACAGTTTATTAAATACAGACTAAATAAGGAATCTTTAAAGACTATTGATGTATTATCACAATCCCTTTCGGTTTCATGGTTAAAAACAAAGATGGCTGCGCCCTGATGAAACGTGACTTTTAGCTGACACCGACAACTCTCAAAGTTAGCTGAAAGCATAGTTGATGTTGTACCATGTCTTCTTTTCAAAAGGACAGAACGAAACCAAAACACAGCGGTGGCCAGCAAATAATGTAGGTCTCTGTTGGTGTTACTTATGCATAGTTAGCTTCTGTGTCCGTTAACAAAGTAGACTGTAACAGGGCGTGGAATAGTGATAAAGATAGTGGCGGTCGTCGCTGGGGCTAGAACCCGCGACCCTTGGCTCTCCAGCCCGATGCTCCACCGCGCGCTGTCAACTATATAGGGAAATTCCCTACAGCTGACGCTTGTAAAGCAACCTAATCAATGCACATCGTTTACAGACCAATGCAGGACAATTTTCTGCTCCTTTTCAGTGTCGAGCATTCAATGAGCTTTAATTCGCTTTTGTTCCTTATAAACTTAAAAGGGGTTGTGACAGCCTGTCTAAAATTACAGAAAATTTCAGTGTCTAAAAGTTGTTATTTCATTCAGATATGCAGATTTAATAAACTGACATGCAATTACAAATGTGACTGGCACATGTACATGTAACTATCTTTTTATGGATTCTCTTTTTCCCTCTCATAGGAGTCGTAACAATTCATTACTATATATTACTAGTAAAACTGGGAATAGCATTATTCATGTTTGATATTTGTTTTAAACAAGATTTCAATAGGATAATTTTCCCCAAAAATTACCAAAAATACACAAAAAAAATACCTGCAAACAACCCTTTAATTTAACACATATATGGAAATTTAAATCAGATGGTTTCATTAGTTAAAAATAATTCTTAGCCTGTGTTGTCCGCCAAACAATCTATGGTATACATGCTACTTGGAGTAAGGGAAGTCAATCGTGACTGAGAATCTATTAAATGCTTTTTATGTACTGTACTTCATTTAATAACAAAAAGAATATTTAAAACAAAAAGGTCTGATACAGTATTCATTTTATTGTGTTTCAGTTTTAGGGCTTCAGCATTTTTTTCTAAATAATTATATAATTTATATGAATTATATATGTTTAGTGGTGTTTCTACTTTGAGATATTTCCATTTCTCTAGTCATTTTTGTATACATGTTATATAACCATCCATGTTATCTTACAAAACAAAGAAATGTTGAATTCAAAGATGGTTTAATTTACATTTTTTATTCCAATTGCAATGTAAAATGCATCTTATTAACAAGTTTTGAACATTGTAGATGCAATTTACTGTTATGCATGTAATAATGATAAAGTGTACATGTAGATATATGTATAATTTATGAATAAAAACAATTCAAATGTAAACATATAATCACATAAATACATCATAAAGCATCAACTAATTTATCGGCTTAAAGCTACATTTTTGTATGATTACAATGGTTTTGGGTTGTTTCATGAAACTTCACACACATGTTCACAACCATCAACTCTTGTACAAGTTCACATTTCGTCATTCTGCAGTCAAAAACTGGGTAACTGTTACTATAAATAAAGATTTTGAAAGTTCACACATATGTTCACAAACATCACTGTTGTACTAGTTTGCATTTTGATCCTCCGTGATCAAAAATTACGTATTCCTTATCACTTTTAACTGCAAGGGTATTCGTATCATCTGCAAGGCCTTGTATATATATATTTTTTTATTGCAAAAGATGTAGGTTTCATTTTTAAAAGAAATTTACTGTTTTTGTGTTTCATTCTTAACAGAGATGAAGAAGCAGAAAGAAGAAAGAAAATTGAACAAGATGTCCGAAGACGCCAAGAATGTGAGAAAAAAGCTTTCAAAATAGTGGAGAAATTGCTAGAAAATCCTGTTACTGAAGACACACTACTACAGGATGTAAGTCTTGGTTATATGGTTACTACGAAATGTGATTTGCTTGGTGTTTCATTATAAAAGTCTTTTGTGAAATGTTTTGGTCCTCCCTTCATTCAGTTGATTATTAACATATTTTGTATGAGTGTAATGACTCTAGGTCTCTTTGTGCTTGTAAAAAATTGCTGTGACTTTTTCACCATACCAATACAAACACCGAAACTATTTGTATGTTCCTTTTAAGATTTTAAGTCTATTCCCCTCCCCAATGTAATAGAAATCATCAAAATTTGAAAAAGGTGTTCAGGACTTGCCTGAAACATTTCTTCTAAAATCGTTGATTTATCACTCCAGCATGGAACATACATTGTATGACCAGTTGTTTATTTCAGGCTCTACACATATGTCCGAATCACTACGACGATATTATAGAGGAGCGAGCCATAGCTAAGTTATGTGGCTATCCCATCTGCCCAAACTCCCTAGGACACGTAAGTACAGACTAGGTCTTATAGCAAAAACAATTTCACAAATCACCAAAAGACTTTATTAAGAAATATAGCTATATAGCTGACATACAGCATGTTTACTGAAGCTCATGAAAACAAACCCAGCCATATGCTACTTCTGTGCATTGTCATTTCAAAAATCTGGCCTCCCCTCATATTTTGGATATTTCCATTGGCATGTGAATAGTATCTCCTTACTCTATGCACCAGTTGTAATATTGAGTTGTCCTTCCATGTTTTGTTAATCACCCCTTTGCCTCATTTTTATATATATTTCATGCCAATTAAGGTTTTTCCTGCAAAGGTTATTATGGACATAAAAGACCTTACCATATTCACTGTTCAGAGTGTAAATGACTGGACTGAAGGACACTGCATCATTTCCACTGCTAATATTACTTTAATCTTATAACCTTCATTCTAACATACATTATAGATGTATTTAAGATTGTACTTTTTCTTGTCAATAGATTCCAAAGCAGAAGTACCACATTTCTACGAGGAGTAACAAAGTATATGACATCACTACCAGAAAGGTACATCGATTACATGGATGTCACCCTGGTAACATACTTGCCGTTTCCTACCGACTCAGCTAGGGAGAATTTCTCTCTGGTCATTAGGTAGAGCGTAAGACTGGTAAGCTAGAGGTCCCAGGTTTGACTCCTACCGGAGTCATTGACAAAATAATTACCTCTGTTACACGTACATGACGAATTTGTAAGAACTTATCCACCAAATCAGCCATCTCGTGTACAATAATAATATCAGATTGTACAGGGTTTTACTGAATATTCGGTGCAAGTTGTTGAGTTTGTGATTTTATATGCATGAATTTGGCTTTTAAAAAAAAACAAGTAGAAGGACAAAATAAAATCGTTATTATATACAGGTTTAGATAAAATAAAAATTAAAACACAAAACATAGAGACTTTATCATTTAAATGTTACATAAATTATACAGCATTGAATGTTTGAGATAATGTCTTCTTTTCAAAGGTAAAAATATAATATGTTGGTTCTGTGATTTCTCAGAATTTTTGCAGCAACCAGTGTTTCACGGCCTCTCAGTACTTAAGGCGACAGCTGTTGACTGCTCCTCTTTGGAGTCGGAAACATGTGAATGACAAACCGTTCAAACTCCTTCCACAGGAAGCCACAAGGTCAGTCTTTATGGGGGGTAGCTAGTGCATCCAGCTTTGACTCCAGTCATACTACATGTATTGCTTCATGTATTGGTGAAAATACTGTTGCAATAGTTATACTATTCTGTTCTGTTATTCCAATAGAATTAAAACTAATGTGCATCAAGTAATTGAGGAAACAAATCTTTGTGATCTGTCAGTGTTTTGAGGTATTGTTACAATTCAAATATGTGAAATCGTTTTAATTACATGTACTTGTTCAATGTGGTGTTTGCTCTTAAAGGTCTTCATGTTTCTAATTTGCCATAAACAGCCATTTTTGATAAATATTAAAATAAAATGATACTGCCACCATTGTACACCTGGTATTTGGCATTATTTGGTGATTCATAATGAAGGGGATATATAAAAGAACTGTGAAGAAAAACAGGAAACACAACCTTAGTTTATGATGGCACTAAGGAAGTAAATAAGGGCATGCATTATAGCGAGGTTTTACTGTAGATGTCTATGAATCAATTCCACACCTGAACTTGAGTATAAATCTATAGAATTTTAAGCTAGCTGACTCTAATGGTAACAAAATGATTGTCAGAACTTTGTCATCTGTTAAAGACACAATTTAACACTTTAAAAGGTGTACTACAGTGTGTTAAATTTGAAGTAACACAAACTTTTTGATATATTTGGTTTGTGAATTTGAACCTAGTGGTTGTCTCCCTTACATCAGTGGCAAGCTGATGATTTATGCTGAAGTTTTGTCTAAACATACTTAACCAGGCTACTGACGAGCTATAAGTGTTCAGTTGTAAGGATTTGTCACTCATACAAATGAAGGTATAGCTGAAGTTATAGCTGTGTCTATTACAGTAGATCTGGCCTCAGTACTAGGATCCAATGGATTCAGTTTTTAGGTCAACTGAGCTTTGCTCAAGTGACCTATTCCGATCTCTTTCCGTCCGCGTCAACCGTAGTGCGTAAAACTTTTTACATTTTCCACTTTTTCTCAAGAACCAGTAGCCAGGGTGGGGCCCCAAAGGGAAAATTAACCAATATTTCAAAAATCTTCTTCTCCAGACTCAGAGGTACTACAGTCATTATCTCTGCGTCGATGGAAAGATCATCAGGGGCTTTATTTAAATTGTAAATTTCACGACCTTGGGGAGGGGGTAAAGTTTACTATAGTTTATATTAGGAAATAACACTTTTGGTTATATTTTTACTATTTTCTGTAGGAAACTATTCTTACTTGGTGAGAATTATCAATGGAGTCCAAAGAAAGAAGGTTTTAAAATGTAAAATTGGGATTCCTACCCCAAACCAAAAATCTTCTTTCCAAACTCAGAGATACTTTACTTAGCTACAGTCAATTTCAGTGCATGGATAGAACGATCATCAGGAGCTTTATTGAAATTGTCAATTTCAGGACCCCTGAGCCGTCTGTTCCCCCTTGGGGAGGGGGTAAAGTTAACTATAGTTTATATAGGGAAATAATACTTTTGGGTATATTTTATCCATTTTCAGCAGAAAATTATTCAAACTTGGTCAGAATCATCTTTGGTGGATGAGGGTATTACATTGTAAAATCAGAATTCCTGCCCCATCCCCAGGGGCTAGGGCGGGGTCCCAATGGGAACATTTACCAATATTTTAAAATTCTTATCTGTTGATGACATGACAAGTATTGTATTTCACTTAGTTTACATGCTGATTTCCACATCACATCTAAACAATAAAGTTACCAGTACCTATGATATAACTCAGGTGACCGCTAATGTCCTTGGGCCTCTTGTTATAACTTAGGTTACATTCGCCTATCCCGGTTACAACAGTTCAGGTGGCGTAGATTATTAAACAAACGCACTTTGACCGAACTATAAGCAGAGCTAAAAATGCACAGTTTCGGAGAATAAATAACAATATATCAAGAATGATATGGCCTTCTATCATGCTTCCACTAAATTATATAACATATCTTACAATCTATACATAGATTGACCTTGTTTAGAGAAATAACGCAAACTAGCAATAGCTAGCAGCTTAGTAGTTTCGTTCAGGTACGTCTGGACTCCTCAATCTACACGTGCCGAATATTCCTTTTGTCAGCCTCAGTTCAGATCTGTGCCTGGTTTTTTTTTCCAGGTTCAACCGTTTCAACTGGTTGAACCAAATACACAAAAGGAGCCTTAAATACAAAAGCTCCTCATTCATTCTGCTTTATATTTCCAGTGGGTTAGAAGGAGATGAAGTGATTTCTATACAATCAGAGTTGAGACAAGAAGTGCAGTCACTGGAAAGGCTGGAGAAGTATGAGGCGAAAAGCAAGGATAAGTCAGCAAACAGGGGTCCTAATAACCCGGACATGTTGAATTTACAGTCCCTTAAAATAGCAGATAGCAACACTTCCTCCAACCAAGACAGAAGTGTGTCAGTCACACAGTCACATTCCAAAAGTACTCATCAGGAAGACAATCTTATAGATAATGCTGAGAAAGGTGAAACAAAATCTAAAAACAAAGGTGACTCAACAGTAATTAACCCTAATCAGAATTCTGAGACAAAAACAGAATCTGGACACCATGGTGACACAATGAATGCTGAAGCAAAGATGAAACATCTTCAGACTTTGTTGAACAAACGAAAACATTTGCTTGGTCAATTGGCAGATATTCAGCCATTGAAAGTGGAGATGTCCAATACAAAACTATCACATGATTCAGATGATGATGATGAAGAGTCTGAATCAGGAAAAGGTCAGCCTAGAGTCACAAAACTTACTAAAGACTCTGAAAATAATATTGATCCTGCATCAGCAAATGTTGTGTGTGACAATGTGAAACCTCCAGATTCTGGTATGTGTCAGGATCCTGAATTGCAGGGAAATGTCAGTAGAACAAGACCTGCTATGATAAAACCACAAGTACTTCCTGCTGAGGTGTCACAGTCAACAACCTTCATACAACAACAGAGACTAAAAAATCCTAAAACCCCCGTAACACCGTCCAAATCTGTGATAATGATTCTGTGTCAGACAATGAAACAGTGGGTCACCAAGGAAACCATAGACTTTTTATCACCACAGGAATCAGACACTCCACAAGATAGAATTGACCACATAGGATTCCAGTCGAAATATGAACAATTATGTCGGCGAATAGGTAACAGTGAAAATGACCTTGATGATCTCATAGGAGAATCCAAAATGGAGGATTCATCTATTCCACAGAAAACAGTTCCAGATTACAGAATACTGAAGGAAGAAACAGAAGAATTTGGCAACAAGGTGGCACACTACCTACAGGGCAAGACCAGTGCAGCATTGGTCGTGAAGGAAAAGGTAGACAGCCTTGTTTTAATACTTTAAATAATATTTAATGCAAAATATTTGTTGGGGAAATGTAAATTAGGTCACTACAGTACATTTCACCTAATATCACGTCTGTTAATGTCACTTTTCGGTTATTATCATGTTTTTTTGATGCACCGTTTTTCCTGCTATATAATCTATGCAATTCAATTCTTTTATTATCACCTGATTTTGTGTCGATTTCTCTTAATATCACTTTTTTTTGGCCACTGTCACAAAAAAATACAGGTAAATGGTGGTAATGATTCATGATAAATGCCCTGGGGACCTTCTGTCACACCCTCAGTGACCCTGGACGCATTATGTAAACAATGCCTCGGCCTAACAGGGTATTTTTTACACCTGGCTGACTGTCAAACAATAGGTTACACCTGGCTGACTGTTAAACAATAGGTTGACTTACATACTTGTTAACATGATATTCACCTGTGGTTGGGGGAGCTAGGACAGTCTAACATCTGTAAACTTTTCTAATGCCAAGTGTGATGTATTCTTTCAACTAATTATAACATGTGTACTATCTTCGATTACACACTTGCAGCAAATATCTAAGGAAATTAACCTATAAAAAGATGTTACTAGCGAAAGAACAGTATATATATCAAGATATAGGTAAATATTTACCAAGTCTCATGTTTACAATTGAATTTGATGCAGAATACCAGCCAAACACTTGTATGCCTACATCACTACTGCAGTAAACAATCATAATTACAATCGTACTGATCGTCATTTTGCTACTAACTATATGAAATGTAACTGCATACTGAAATGAAATACAAATAATATATTTATTTCTATACTTATTTACTTATATCTTTATTTCAACTAGGGTAAAGAACAAGGTTAGTTACAAAATATCAATCTTCTTCGTAGAGCCACATCACTTAGGCATTTGACTAAGTTCACTTCTGGTTTTTGAGGGCTGAAAAACATCAGAAAATATGTTTTCTGTTTATGTCATGTTTCTGTTAATATCATGTTTTTCTCTGACAAATGGGAAGTGATATTAAGAGAAATCTACTGTATCAATAAAAGATACATGCTCAAGCACCATAGCCCTTATTAAATATCTCTTAGCTACAAAGTAAAAAATTACATAATTAAGGAGGCACAGCGTTCCAACTCACTTCACTTTTTGGTGTGAGCCTTTCATTCAACCTTCATTAACTGAAATAAACAAACAAGACTTGTCAATTACTATTATAGGAATGAATGGAGAACACCTGCTGATCTACCTACCAAGCCATGAATGACTACATAGTTGTTAAATTTCATGGGATTAAAATTTTGTGATTTTGTGTCGGGAACTTACACTCAGGGGTTTAATTTCACTAACTACATTTTCTGTAAGTCTATTTCAGACTTTTTATTTATATATTTCTATTTTACCTATTTCACTTTTTTTGTATGTAATGTTTTTTCTTTAAAAATGATGTTTTGACCGAGCAGCCTCGGCTGATATCAGGGACGTGTGAAGTGTTGATGTTGATATCAGGGACGTGTGAATTGTGGATGTTGATATCAGGGACGTGTGAAGTATGGATGTTGATATCAGGGACGTGTGAATTGTGGATGTTGATATCAGGGACGTGTGAAGTGTGGATGTTGATATCAGGGACGTGTGAAATGTGGATGTTGATATCAGGGATGTGTGAAGTGTGGATGTTGATATCAGGGACATGTGAAATGTGGATGTTGATATCAGGGACGTGTGAATTGTGGATGTTGATATCAGGGATGTGTGAAGTGTGGATGTTGATATCAGGGACGTGTGAAGTGTGGATGTTATTGTGAAGATCTCAAAATCTTCTGGAGGGTTTTAACTTTGTGACTTGTAACACTTTTTTTGAAATTTGCAAAAATTAAAACCTTCGTGAATATTAGCAACAATACGATATTTAACTAAAATATGTCACACAATTTAAACATTTCAAAGTTGAATCTATATCATTTGATTTGTTATAGTGTTATTTGTCTTTACTAGGACGTCCAGGAGCAGTCAGAAGTCCACCTCCCTACAGTGGACAGTCATGATCAAATGCTGATTAGAAAGAAAATTGTTATGGAAAAAATTAACAGGGTGTAAGTATTTCTCAGGTGGACAATTGAAAGTTTTCTGTCCCTTTTTGTTTTAATACCTCTCACAAAGATTCAATATGGATGTATTATGTTTTTAAAGAACTGGAGTAAGTTGGTAGATCAGTAATCTAAAGGGAGTGGGTTCCAGGTTTAAATCTTATATTGCTGTTAAGTTTTCCTGCTACGGCAATGTGTTCAGTATATACACAAACATTTTTATATAGGCCACTGAAAGTCGTATAATTCGTGTGTTATAGGGGTAGAATATACACTAACAATATTACTTCTTCTTTTTCTATTTATTTCTATTATTTTGTACCTGTTGCATATGTTAAAATGTTTGGGTTACTTATGTTAATATACATATGCACACTTTCCTTACTTTGACCTAGTTGATAAACTGTTATGTATATTACACATTATGCGACAGGTTGAAGGATATAAGTGACTGAGTTACACCTAAGTTTTATTTGGCTGAACAATTAATTGTAAAATTTTCAATATATTTTATCTGATGATAAGAATTCTACTCAGCCCTTTAGTTACTATAAGACTTTAGAGTGAGCAGGTGCTCGAGGTCACACTGTTTTGTTAAGTATGTACATGAACATATGTATGAATTACATGTAATATAACATTTTGTGAAATCTTTGGGACAGAATGCATGAAATTCTGACTCCACTGAAGCTGTCCATGCAGGAAGTGTTTTCAGAATTAAGACAACTGGTGTCAACATTCAGGTAAAGTACTCTACACCAAATAGTGGGATGTGTTTAAATGCAACACCTGGCAAACAGTACAGAGAAGACTGTATGTTTAAGTGTACTACTATTGAAAGTTATTTCCCCATGTTTAAATTGAACACTGGTGCATGTCATGCCAGTATGTTCAAGTGTAACACTAATGAATGACAGACATGCTCTACTTCAATATCATGCCCATTTGTTTAAGTGGATGAGTACATTGTAGACAGATAAGAATGAGAATTCAACCAAATAAAACAATTTTGAGTCTGAAGAAAATGTTATTGCTAGAATAATATGTTGACCATTCATATGTCTCTGACACTGACAATTCAGTTTTCTTTTTTTCACAAAATGAATCATCTTCAGTCTAGCTAGCAGTCTGTTCTTTCCTTGATGTATCTGTATAACATAAACATCTGAATACAATTGAACAGTACCAAATTAGTTCTTTACATGGATGTGTTTGATAAGTTTGGGGATCAGCTTCTCTTTGGTTTTGCAGACTCGGAAGTCAGAACATCATCTTTAGACCAGCAGAGTGGACATTGGTCAGTCTCATCCTTTTCAAAATGTAAGTACAGTCAATGTCAAGTGTGTCATACACAATATTAAGCCATACAGTTAAGGACATTTGTAAAGATAATGTATAGATCCATCCAATATCACTGTGATTAAAACCAGATCTGAAACTACGGCACACCAAAGCTACATGTACATGTTACATAGTAAATAACGATATTGTTTTATTCAGATTAATCCATAATTTTAACAAAACAAGAGACAAAAATTCTACTTTTTCTGGTGATATAGTAACATATTTATCTTCTTTCTGTATCTCAATACACCCAATTTTTATTGTCCATTCGTCTATCTCAGGAAATTGGCCGCTATAAAGGTATAGCAGTAACACACCACATTTGATATTTTTATCAAGGGACGCTACTTTCCAGTAGAATTTTTATGTCTTTCAAAGTCAGTTGTGCTTTTTTTATTAGGATCCCATGAGTTATTGCCCTTTTTGTAGTACAATCTTGTCCAGACAAGAGTTATTGCCCTTTATGTAGTACAATATTGTCTAGACAAGAGTTATTGCCCTTTTTATAGTACAATCTTGTCCAGACAAGAGTTATTGCCCTTTATGTAGTACAATCTTGTCCAGACAAGAGTAATTGCCTTTTTTGTAGTACAATCTTGTCCAGACAAGAGTTATTGCCCTTTTTGTAGTACAATCTTGTCCAGACAAGAGTCATTGCCCTTTTTGTAGTACAATCTTGTCCAGACAAGAGTTATTGCCCTTTTTGTAGTACAATTTTGTCCAGACCAGAGTCATTGCCCTTTTTGTAGTACAATCTTGTCCAGACAAGAGTTATTGCCCTTTTTGTAGTACAATCTTTTGTAGTACAATCTTTTGTAGTACAATCTTGTCTAGACAAGAGTTACTGCCCTTTTTTTTGGTACAATCTTGTCCAGACAAATTGTTCATTTGATAGGATTCACTACTGTCATAGGTAGTTGTGCGTGATTGAAAGGCGTTAGTCTGGACGTTAAGTTATACAAATATTTACATGGATGTGCTTGTATCATTAAAATTAACCTTTGGATTATAGTGTTTCAGTGATATTTTGGACACCTTTGTCAAGTTGTGGGACTCACCCTCAATTTGAGAACCCACTTAGTTAACTGTAAGGACTGGAGCTGATCAACAATTTAAGAACCCACTTAATAAACTATAAGGACTGGAGCTGATCAACAATTTGAGAACCCACTTAATTAACTATAAGGACTTGAGCTGATCAACAATTTCAGTATGAAGGTTCAGGACTCTATAGTAACAATCCTACAAAAATCACGGAACGTTAAATCTTCTACAAAATTAACAACCTTTTTTTTGTATTTAACATTTTAAGGATGATACAATTTTGTTTAGAAACACATTATTTATTATTTATTTTTGTTAGTTTTTTATTCAGTTTTGTAAACATATCCTGATCAAGGTTTATTGTCTTTTTTTAGGTTGGCAAGAAGACAACATTACATTGCAGAAGCCTTTAAGGAGGAGAGTGCAGTACGTTACTTTAATATTCTCCTCCGTCCTATCCATGAGTCGGAGACTGCAGTTGACCAGCATGTCTCACAAGTCATCTTCTCTTGACGCCATTACTATTTTCCTTTTTACTCCGCAAAAAAGACTGATTTATACAGAAAGAAAACCATAAAGCAATTTTAGGATTGTTTATTGTAAAACAAAAAGGAAATTTCTGCATTACCCATGACAGAAATTAATGCTGAATATATGTGTTGTGCATCATCCGTTAAAATTACAACCTGGACTTGGACTTCAAAACCATTGAATTGGTCTCTATATTATGGACAAAGACAAACGGCTTGAGGGACAGTGCTAAAAGGGGTTGAATTGGCTAATATTTCAACAGTATTCTCCTTCAGACCCAGTTACGTTAGAATCAAGTACTCTCATAGATTTCGGTGGAAGGCCTATCCTTTTGTTGCTTATTCATTGATAAATATATAATAGAGATTTATTGGAATCGATAAAAACAAACGTGTGACTTCAGTATGTTACATTATTTATTGATAATACTCAGAGAAAAAACAAAACGTGATTTTACATATCCCCGAATATATATACATGTATAACATGTGACAGAAAGTGATGGTCCATAAAACAAGTATTCCGCTACCAGGTATAGGTAAAATCTCAACCGTATTGGTACTACCAGGTATATATAAAATCTCTATCATATTGGTACTACCAGGTATATATAAAATCTATCGTATTGGTATTACCAGGTATAGATAAAATCTCAACCGTATTGGTACTACCAGGTATATATAAAATCTCTATCATATTGGTACTACCAGGTATCTATAAAATCTATCGTATTGGTATTACCAGGTATAGATAAACTCTCAACCGTATTGGTACTACCAGGTATATATAAAATCTCTATCATATTGGTACTACCAGGTATATATAAAATCTCTATCGTATTGGTACTACCAGGTATAGATAAAATCTCAATCGTATTGGTACTACCAGGTATAGATAAAAACTCAACTGTATTGGTACTACCAGGTATATATAAAATCTCTATCGTATTGGTACTACCAGGTATAGATAAAATCTCAACCGTATTGGTACAACCAGGTATATATAGATCAGGCGCGTAGCTACCATGTAATCCAATAAGCCCGGGCTTGCACATGATTTTGACAAGTATAGGTTTTCATGACGTTTTTTTTTCTTGCTGATACTATAAAATGGAGTTTAAGTTTTGAATATATAGTATACATATATAATTCCTCAGATATGATTCACTGTTAATAGTTAGTTCAAAAATGTATAAAGTTTAGAAATGTCCATTGCATTAATGGACAGCTCCAGGCGGAACTAAACTGCTCGATTGAGTAAATTGAGAAACTCACGCCCGGCACAAACGACTCCATCTTTAGGGTCGTGAGATATTTGAAGAGGAGATTAGGCGATGGACTGTGAGATGGAACATTCCAAACACCATCAAACCTGCTTCTTTGCAGGAAACGCTTCCACTAACTAACCGCGAGCTGTACCCTTGTGTCTGGACGATGGTCGCAATACTTGTAACCATGCCAGTCTCCACATCGTCAGCAGAGCGTTCATTCAGTTCCCTCCGCAGAGTGAAGACGTACCTTCGTTGCACAATGGGACAGGAGCGTCTTCTGTCATTGTCAATTCTCCATATTCACCGAGATATGACAATTGACATTGATGCTGCGATAGAGGAGTTCTTTGCTGCCAAACGTAGGAAAGGACACTTTGGAATCTAACTAAATGACGAAAACTGTCTTCTGGAGCCTGCCAAATTACAACACAACAGAATTTTAAAAAATCACGGTGCTTTGTATTTTTTTACTTTGTCAGATTGCGCATAATAATACCTTCTATAATGGACGTATATAAAACTAAACTTTAATTTTCTTCCATGTCCACAAAATGTTTATGAAACCAGAAGACGAAGCGGTGTGGGAGACTGCAAAGCTGGGCCTTACGATGATAGTGGGGGCAACCTCGCTTCTCGAAATGACCAACAAATAACAGGAGCAAGTATAAGGAACCAGTCACAAAGCACAAACAGAAGACGAAACTGTGTGGGAGACTGAGTAAAGGTGACAGCGGAGGTAACCTCGCTTCCCAATTAACTCGGATCAGATTATGAGAAAGATAAACCCAATTGCATGTTCACTAATGCAGAAGCATCAAATGCATTTATCAAGATTAGGTAAAAACCAGACAATGTATGTATGGAGGGTGTACAAAGCAATACCGACGGTTAATCTCCAGAATTACACTGGATCCACGTAAATAGGTATATTTATATACAAAAAATAGGACTTTTTTCTTGCGGATTAAAACGAGAAAACAGACATCAGGACGTGTGAAATGGCTCCTGAGACGTTCTAGAAAACACATTTTTCATGGGGGGAATGGGGGAGACCCCCCAGACCCCACTTAAAGGGAGGGGGAATACCCCCTCCCGTACCCTCCCCCTGCTCGCGCTTCGGGGGGGGGGGGGGCTGCCTTCGGCAACCCCATCTCGGGCTTACACATGGTAATGGGGCTAGCTACGCGCCTGTAGATAAAATCTCAATCGTATCGGTACTACCAGGTATAGATAAAATCTCAACCGTATTGGTACTACCAGGTATCTATAAAATCTCAACCGTATTGGTACTACCAGGTATATATAAAATCGCTATCGTATTGGTACTACCAGGTATATATAAAATCGCTATCGTATTGGTACTACCAGGTATATATAAACTCAATCGTATTGGTACTACCAGGTATAGATAAAATCTCAACCGTATTCGTACTACCAGGTATATATAAAATCTCAACCGTATTGGTACTACCAGGTATCTATAAAATCTCAACCGTATTGGTACTACCAGGTATAGATAAAATCTCAATCGTATTGGTACTACCAGGAATATATAAAATCTCTATTATAGATAAAAACTCAATCGTATTGGTACTACCAGGTATAGATAAAATCTCAATCGTATTGGTACTACCAGGAATATATAAAATCTCTATCGTATTGGTACTACCACGAATATATAAAATCTCTATCGTATTGGTACTACCAGGAATATATAAAATCTCTATCGTATTGGTACTACCAGGAATATATAAAATCTCCATCGTATTGGTACTACCAGGTATATATAAACTCAATCGTATTGGTACTACCAGGTATAGATAAAATCTCAACCGTATTCGTACTACCAGGTATATATAAAATCTCAACCGTATTGGTACTACCAGGTATCTATAAAATCTCAACCGTATTGGTACTACCAGGTATATATAAAATCTCCATCGTATCGGTACTACCAGGTATAGATAAAATCTCAACCGTATTGGTACTACCGGGTATATATAAAATCTCAACCGTATTGGTACTACCAGGTATCTATAAAATCTCAACCGTATTGGTACTACCAGGTATCTATAAAATCTCAACCGTATTGGTACTACCAGGTATAGATAAAATCTCAACCGTATTCGTACTACCAGGTATATATAAAATCTCAACCGTATTGGTACTACCAGGTATATATAAAATCTCTATCGTATTGGTACTACCAGGAATATATAAAATCTCCATCGTATTGGTACTACCAGGTATATATAAAATCTCTATCGTATCGGTACTACCAGGTATAGATAAAATCTCTATCGTATTGGTACTACCAGGAATATATAAAATCTCTATCGTATTGGTACTACCAGGTATATATAAAATCTCTATCGTATTGGTATTACCAAATTTCACTTTGACATAGAAATGTTTGATTCGCAGATGGACCAATTACACTTGACATTTTAAGATGTGTATTGCTATTTATCTATCATGCATCACTCACTAAGTTACTAAAGCATATACTTTCGATGATTACGATGTAAAGAGGCGATCACTTTCTGTCAGAACAATATATATACTGGTTAACCTGCAGTAATTAACATACCCACAACAGTCCCAACCATTCACGTCTGGAAACTAATGGTTCTTCTTCATTACACAAATCTAATTTCTATCCGTATCCTTGCACCAACTATTTGACATTTAACTCCCATTCACTTCCAGCACCTGGTTCGTAGACACATATCACATCTTCACTTCTTTGAAATTGGTGACAAATTCCTGGACACAATGTCTTCCTGTTTGACAGAATTATCTCCGCGGCCTTTTAGTGCAGGAAGAGCTACAGTCTGCCTTGGAACTGTGTTTAAAGAATGAGTAGAGGACTGAAGTGATGTTTTGGAGTGTGATGGAGTAGAACTTTGCACATTACCTAAACTCTTTGATGCTGACTTTAACGAGTCCGGTCCAGACACTTTCCCAACAGACCCTTTAGAGATATCCCCAGACACTCGGCCGACGGAACAGTTCAATCCATTGACAGAAATGTTAGCAGAAGATATTGATATTGTTGAACCATTCCTGGACAATTTCGAAAGTGGTCTGTTAGACAATTTTCCAGAAACGATATCAGATGACCTAATAGAACCATTTCTTGAAATTTTATCTGCGGAATTAATAGAACCGTTTGCTGAAACTTTACCCACTGATTTTGTTGTATACCCTAACTTGTTGGGTGCCGAACGGGAGTAAGTAGAAACTTTACCTACTGACACATTTCCCGACATCTTTGATCCTGACCGTATTTCATGCCTTTTAAAACCGTATCTCACAGGTCCAGTAATGAAAATGGGTTCCTCATCGCTTTCATCACAGAATGTGTCATCGTATGAACGATCTGTTGTTTCACTCATCAACGTCGTAATCGTCCTGTCAAACAACGAATCCTCCTCGACCTCCTCTCTCGATGAAAGCGTTTTCTCCTCTGCATTTTCTACCTTGGGTGGCTCATCTCTGTATGGTTTCGCCTCGTCAATTTCTTCCAGTTCACTTTCCAGACCAGTATATACGAACAGATTCTCTGGAGCCTCGTTCAGACCCTCTACCATCTCGTCTAGCTCCGAAGCCGTGGCGGACAACATGTCGGGCTTAAAATCACTGAGCAAATTATATTTCCCTTGAAAGAACGCTGGGAATACACCTGACTTCATGTGGGACGAAAGCCGTTCGATCACCTTGATGAACCAACGTGACCTTCCCTTCACCACTCCCATGCTTTTCTTGTGCTGATACAATATGGCATTTAAGATGACGCGATTTGTCAAAGGATGCAAGCAAAATGAATGTATGTCTTTGATTCTCTCTATCAACATGATGATGTCTCTGAAATATTGTCCTGTCGTCATCTGACAGATATAATGAAGAGCCCTGTCCTCTAGACAACCTATGTTGAGACCCCAGGAGCAGACAATACTGCCATCGTAACCACACTCATTGCTCCATGGCATCACAGTTGCGTCAAGGTAGAACATTTTTTCACCTTGCGTCAAGACGTCTCTGATATTCTTTTTGAAGTCTGTGTGGAACTCATAATACGGTCGTCTGCTTGCTATTGGGACTTGCAGACGACACTGCTTCGGAACTTCACTGATTGAAATGCAGGGTACGATATTGAGTGTGAAGAACAAATGCGGTTGAATGGACTGGTTCGTGTAGAAGTTGATCAACAAGGTTCCGTCTTTTTTACCAGAATATGATATGTCCATGGTGTGATGTTTTTTTGCTTTATGAGGTCTAGCCTCCTTTAAAAAGTCCACAGCTGCTATGATACCTGCAGACAGAAATGAAAAATAGGGACTTTATCAACAGACCTCATTACATTTGCTTTTTCTCTTAAATCAAAAACTGCAGGTTCAAATGGTTTTCCTCAGTTTCAAATAAGGAAGAAAGGAAAAACGAAAGAGAAGACAGATGCGGTATCGTGTTAAAATCCTAAACAAAGTCTACATGATGCCTTGCCTGCATGTAGAAACTGACAGGCAAATAAAGGTTCATGGACATTTAAAACTTACCGTCATTGAACCAGTGGAGGATAAAGTCAGGCCTAAGGAACCCGTTTGTATCCACACAATGACCCCACTCTTTAGAGATCTGCATCTTGTCTACGGAAAACAGATTCTCGTTGACACCTAGAAGGATTCTATGGCTTGGGAATTCGCTGGGGGGCTTGTACACCATCTGAAAGGAGGAAACATTAATTCTGTTAATCTCGTTATTATCATCAGTACGAAATGAGCAGTGGCAATGTTAAGTTATCAGAAGAGACAATAACTGTGAGAGTATTGATAATGATACCTTTATGTATTGGAAACTAATCAGGTTACTTCAATTAAAGTTATACAGATCGTTGTTCTGTTATGAAATCTATCTAGTGTTGTGATTTTGCAAATCTATAACTGATTATCACAAGAGGAAAACCGCCAGAAAATCTGCATATTCACCGTGAATGTGTCGGGTTTTGCAGGCCTCTTAATAGGTACAAAACACTGGAATTCATAAGCATCAAGGGCTCGAAGATTTTCAAGTTCAGGCTTGCCTCCCCTTATTGAAATGTACTTTGGAAACAAAGGATGTATCCCATAGGCAGTGTTCGCAATCCTGGCGGCAAGCCCCATCGCTATCCCAAATGAGTTTTCCCTCCGACTTTCTAGTTCCCCTATGGTAATCCTTTCATTAAGAACTCCTGTGATAAAGTCTCCAAGTTCTGGAGGTCGGGTGGCCACGCCATCAGCTCCCTCCACTTCCTCGATAATGACGTCATCATCATCATCTTCCAGCATGTTCTCTCTAGCTGCGTTCGTCGAAACAACGTCACACTACGTCACAGTCGTATGCTGTAGAAACGAAATATGCTGGTAATATTAAAATGGTTAAATAGTTAAATTGTGGCAATTGGATAATGACAGAAAGGACAACAATCAACAACAGTTACTACATCTTCTACACACAAAAACAGCGTCTTCTACAAAAAGATAACAATAACAGACCTTTCACAAAAACGTACAGCAAAAACAGTACCATTTACAAAAGGACAACAATTGTTCATTCCACATAGACATTACGTTCAACGAAAAATCGCTGGCGGCAAAACCGAGTTAGTAGATAAGAAAATGTCTTTCCGAAATTTTGCCGTTTGATTAAAGTTTGCATACGATGAAAAAATGCTTGTTACTACATGTTCATTAGAAAGTATATTCTTTACCTTTAAAAGCAAACTCTTCTGTCTGATACGATCAGAGAGGCATCATAGAAGAAGTTCATTATACGTAAAAATCAATAACATTCGGTACTGCACAATTGTAAGATTTTTCTGAATCGGGAAATTTAAACGAACTTTTCCTCTTTGTCTCGGTTTCATTTTGCACAAACTAAAACCAAAAGCATTGTTTTTTAAGGTTTAAAATAACATACTTTGGTCTAGTCCGAAATAACTGACTATCCACCCCATCAAAATTTTCGAAAATACAGACTAACACTGTACGATGTACTTATGAGATTTTTTAAGTATTGCCCATCTGACAAAGAACTTTTTTGCCACCGAGTATTTTAGCTACAGGCGACAACAAGTCACGTCGAAATTTCAGGGAAGTAAAATCCATTCTGTTCTTGTCATATCATTTGTCAACAACTAGCATACTCATTTTTAAAATCTTCACAGACGCTACGATATTATCTAGATTTTACAGTATGTTAGATTTGGACGAATGGTATTTTTTTTTTAAAGGGAACAAAGTGAATTTTACTACTCTGCATTTTCGACAGGACTTGTCGCCTTAAGTATAGTATAGGTTAGGGGTAGAGTGTATCTCTGGTTGTCTATATATACTAGGTATATGAACCAGTACAGCAGTCCTGTCGTGGCGTCCGTTCTAATGCATCACTTCCATTGTAGTAACCAGTTACGCCCGACAGTCGAGGACGTCACTGCTTTCGTTAGGTACAGTCCTAAGTCCATTTGTCGGGGAGTCCCTATAGTGAGTGCGATTTTAAAATTTATGCTAGTGTATGTATTTCTCAAATCAATTTACGATTATGATATTTCGGTCGTAGCTATATTTATCACTGGCTTTCCCAAAAGATAAAACTGACCACACTGAACGTTTGTTTCAGGTAATATAATGTCATTATTAACTACGTACATTTTATGTAAGAGATCTATATTTTCAGTATCTAATCGATCTCGCCGGTATTTTTTTATCAACATGAGTATATTCGATTTGTCACCTATCATCAGGAAATGACACTTCTTTTATGGAGGTGTTACAATGTATTTGGATTATTGTCGAGCGACCTTGGCAGATAATTGATTTGTAAACTTGACTCAGTGTATTGTATGTGTACAGGATATTAATTGATACACCCTACAGTAACATGAATTCTGCTTTATTCAGTTTAGATATTAAACTATACACCATAATATGATTGCCAAATGCAAACCTCTATCATCTAAACCAGAAGCAGAATACGTCATATTGTCAATGGCATGTTACAAATCAAATATCCGAAACAGATCTGTGCACGTTATAAACAAGGCAGACATTCATTGTCATAACAAACACTTGTTTTCTATTGTTAAACACCGAATACACGCATGAATTGTATTTCTATGTTTACACATATAAGTTATAGAGTGTACACCATTTTCTTTGGTGATAAATGTTGATAAATGTGTATACCTGTTTCAATATATTACGGATGTGATGGAGAGACGAGTGTGGTGATTATTTTCTTGTCACACTGCTAAAGTATAGCACACCTAAATATTTAACGTCAACTGATATTGTATGATCCGTCACTAGGTATTTATAGTACGTAATGGAAGTCGAAATACATCACTAGATATTTATAGTAAGATGTGGGGGTTGAGGATACGTTTTATGTCAATGAATATTTACAGGACTTTCAGGGGTGAAGAATACGTCACTAGATATTTATAGAAAGATGTGGGGGTTGATGATATGTTTTATGTCAATGAATATTTACAGGACTCTCAGGGGTGAAGAATACGTCACTAGATATTTATAGAAAGATGTGGGGGTTGATGATATGTTTTATGTCAATGAATATTTACAGGACTTTCAGGGGTGAAGAATTCGTCACTAGATATGTATACATACAGTACGTGGTCAGGGTTTGGTATTTGTCGCCAAATAAGTATAGTACATGGGGATAGAAGATCAACAGATACTAACGTAATTGGAGTTGAGGATACTCCCCTACTTAGTCAAAGTAGTTAGTGGGCGGCTGGTGCTTCTTCACTGTTACATCTAACTACATTGAATATATAGGGAATGTTGTCATATCAAAATTCTACTGCTATATATTAGATAATTGGACAACAAATGAATGCACTATTTTAACAAACTTGGTATTTATACAAGCGGTACAGTAGTACCGTCAAGTTGGACAGATATCTATCGGTGTCTGAGTAGTCTAGAAACTAGTAAGATATTTAGCACACATGCTACTACATTGAAAATACTAACGCGTTATCTTTTTCAAAACTACATCTTTAATGTACAATGGAGAGTTTGTTTTGCTTTTCAAATAATTACGATACAGCACTGTAGGATGTTAAGTGTCGTTAACCATTTTATTAGGTTAAACACAAGTTCCACTTTTTAAGTGGTTAATTGGTGCTCACGTTTTGCAAGTCACTGTAATGTAGAATTTAAGGGTTATGCTCCATAGAACACCATGTCAAATTTGAGTGTATACCTCAATCAGTTAGGTATCATGTGTTTTCAGTATTCCGTCAGTGTATCACATATCTACATTTTCACTATATACACTGTTGTATCGAATATCAATCTTACGGGACTTCACAACCGTAACAAATAGTACACAACACGAATTACAATATTACATTCAAAGCAAGGTTTAGCAGTCATATATTTTGCATTGTATACAGCGTTGTTGCCCCTTACGGAGTGATATTGACTGAGGCGAAGCCGAGGTCAATATCACTCTTTCAGGTTCATATCACATCATATTTACCAGCACAAAAGCCCATAACTGTTTTATTATATGCTTCAACAATAAAATAAAACAAAAACAAAACTAAAGGATCTGATTTTTGTACGCGAGCCTCCGTGTAAAATTTAGCCAGGTTTGAATACAACAGTTCATCATTGTAGCTTTCAAAGGCATCGTCTAGATTATTTTTCTTAAGATAAGCATGGAGGACATGCACTGCGTGTCCAATGGCCTTTTAACGTTAACAGCATCTTTATCCTCGAATAGTTTTCGTAATTTTCTGATGTAACGGAGGAGAAACGTTCGCCAGCAGCCATCTTCCAATGTCGTCTGACAGATCGCGTTCCAGTCTAACTGCGCATGCGCTACGACAGGTTCCGGGGAATTTCCATACAGGCTATATTTAGAAATCGATATTCACCGGATAACCAGTCTACATGACTTTTTGAGGACTGGTCACGTGTATAGGATCCGACCAATGTGANCAGTCTAACTGCGCATGCGCTACGACAGGTTCCGGGGAATTTCCATACAGGCTATATTTAGAAATCGATATTCACCGGATAACCAGTCTACATGACTTTTTGAGGACTGGTCACGTGTACAGGATCCGACCAGTGTGAGTGCGAGAAATGTTCATGCATATAATAAAATATTATATACACTTGTTATACAATAGTATATGCATGTAAAGTAAAAAGGGTTGCTGTTTTCAGGGATCATATTGTACAGATGTAAACGAAGTGATATGCAGTATGATCTGTACTGTATACTACAATATGTTTACTGTAAACATGGTTATTTATTCTGTAAATAGGGTTATATATATACTGTATACTACAATATGCTAAAGTATAGCACACCTAAATATTTAACGTCAACTGATATTGTATGATACGTCACTAGGTATTTATAGTACGTAATGGAAGTCGAAATACTTCACTAGATATTTATAGTAAGATGTGGGGGTTGAGGATAATACGGTATATATTACTGTTTACAGGGTTGTATGTATTGTTTACATGGTTATATTTACTGTTTACATGGTTATATTTACTGTTTACATGGTTGTATGTACTGTTTACAGGGTTATATTTACTGTGTACAAGCTTATATTACTGTTTACATGGTTATATTACTATTTACATGGTTATATTTACTGTTTACAGGGTTATATGTACTGTTTACATGGTTATATTTACTGTTTACATGGTTATATATACTGTTTACATGGTTAAATATACTGTCTATATGGTTGTAGTTTCTGTTTAAGGGTTGTATTTACTGTTTACATGGTTATATTTACTGTTTACATGGTTATATTACTGTATACATGGTTATATTCCTGTTTACATGGTTATACATACTGTTTACATGGTTATATTTACTGTTTACAGGCATACTGTTTACATGGTTAAATATACTGTCTATATGGTTGTAGTTTCTGTTTAAGGGTTGTATTTACTGTTTACATGGTTATACATACTGTTTACATGGTTATATTTACTGTGTACATGGTGATATTACTGTATACATGGGTATATTCCTGTTTACATGGTTATACTACTGTTTACAATGTTATATTTACTGTTTACAGGCATACTGTTTACATGGTTAAATATACTGTCTATATGGCTGTAGTTTCTGTTTTCATGGTTGTATTCACTGTTTACATGGGTTTACATGCTGTTTACAGGGTTATACATGCTGTTCACATGGTTATACATACTGTTTACAGGGTTATCCATACTGTTTACAGGGTTATACACGCTGTTCACAGGATTATACATACTGTTCACGGGGTTATACATACTGTTCACAGGGTTATACATCCTGTTCACAGGGTTATACATGCTGTTCACATGGTTATACATACTGTTTACGTGGTTAAATATACTGTCTATATGGTTGTAGTTTCTGTTTTCAGGGTTGTATTTACTGTTTACATGGTTATATTTACTGTTTACAGGCATACTGTTTACATGGTTAAATATACTGTCTATATGGTTGTAGTTTCTGTTTTCAGGGTTGTATTCACTGTTTACATGGGTTTACATACTGTTTACAGGGTTATACATGCTGTTCACAGGATTATACATACTGTTCACAGGGTTATACATACTGTTCACAGGGTTATACATGCTGTTCACAGGGTTATACATGCTGTTCACAGGGTTATACATACTGTTCACAGGGTTATACATGCTGTTCACAGGGTTATACATACTGTTTACAGGGTTATACATACTGTTCACAGGGTTATACATACTGTTTACAGGGTTATACATACTGTTTACAGGGTTATGCATATTTGCTTACAGGGTAATATATTTTTATATACTGTACAGTTATTTGCTCAATTTTCACCGTGAGAGAATTCCCCAGTTCAAAAAATTGAATTTTGCGAGTTACATCAACATTATTTACTTTAATAACCATGTTAGATATTATTTGTACAAAATAATTTGATTGGTTCTCTCATTCTTGTCAAGTCTATCATGCCGAATAATAATAGTCTACTACTTACGTGACAAACTGTTTTATTGGATTCGGGAGTGGAGGTATGCTTTATTCCTTAATCCTGCACGTCATACGTTTCTGAATCACATTTATGAACGTATCCGATAAACCAGATAATTGATCATGTAGTTAATCACAACAAGGTAATCATAACATAGTTCTCTAGATGTCGAAATCAACAAGAAACATTCAAAGTACAACAAAACCATGAACTCTAAATCGATCACACTAGGTCCATGGAGCTGAAGGTTGAAGGACAGAATTGTTTTAACTAGTGCGTCAACTAGTTACACTGGTTTTAACAGGAAAGCTATCACTATATAAGGGTTATTTTTATTACAAATAACACTTCAAACACTTTATTGACCAGATCATTAAATGATAGTAAATGTAATTGCTGTATGAATGATATTACGTAGTTATTTATATTCGTTGACTAAACAAACCATTCCCATCTGGAAATTACTACTTTTATTGACACGTTTCGGGGCTGATATATCATTTCTTGCCTTTTAGTGTTAACTGTACAATATAAGTACATCCTTAGGTTACAGTTGTCACTACTCAAGAGCCTGTTGTTAATACCAAGATTTACCGAACAGATGCGTCCTGTTAACCAACAGGCTATTAAACCAAGGTTTCTGTATAAAATGACGTCAAGCTTCCTTATATAATCCCGTCATTATAATGTGATTTCAAAATACTATCCGTAGTGTTCCCTACAATCCAATGAATACGTGTCAAATGAAATCAAAAACCCAAAAGCATTACTTAATTACAAAAGAAAATTCATAATCCCATATGAATTGAAAATGTCCATACAGAATATGCTTGCCCATCTTTCAACTTAAGTCATTGGAATCTATTTTCTCCTGAAAACCATATGTATTTAAGTATAAAAAGCTGGTTTTAAAACCTTCACGAAAAGTCACCGATACCATCTTTGATGAGAAGATCTGGTTTCAAAAAGATTTGTTTGCTAAATTCGGCGTGTAAAAATAAAAAGTACAAACATTTAAACGTCTGAATCAACACACAGAACACACTGTACATACACTGAACAAAAGACGTGCAGTTGCTAAGTGCAGTGGTTATCGAAACTTACCTCCTCTAGTTATTTAACACATATATCCTCTTCCATCTTTGAAACATTATTATATCTACAACAAACTTAATAAACCTATATTAATTTTCTCTCCGAAATGAATATTCCTTATAAAATTATTTCGAATTTGTAACAGACGCAGTTGGAATAAACATGGATATTGATTTGTTAGACTGTTGGAATACCTCTGTATTGAAGGGGATTATCGCCTCAATCTCAATCTATTGTTGATATATAAATACAAAATTTGGACCCGTTAGTTAAATCTCTTTTAAACGTTAACATAAGACGGTATCTCCGCATGCCTACGACATACGTCGGCCTGTGCCCGCTGTGTTTAACCACCGTTGAATATCCGCTTGAGAGCCTTTTGAAATATTTGGTCCCCAATATACGACGGTAGAATAGTCCGAAACAAATACTGGGTGGGTTGATAACGGGTATCTGGTTAGGACAGGACTGACCCACACACGACTCAATGGTGTAAACTAGTGTTAGGTTCTCGTCTTTAACAAAAGGTTAAACACGTTAACAAGGAGGATCTGGTAACTCCTAGCTGGAGTTTTAATACCCAATTAGACACCTATATGTTCGCATAATACCCTGTTTAAATGACTCCAAAATGTCAGTGCAACAACTGTTCATCTGACTTGTCTTCTAGGGTGACAATAACTTTCAACAATATGTGTTTTTACGATTCAAAACACGAATATTTAAAAAGAGTTGACGGTCAAAGCAGAGGATTAAAGACTCCAGTCATACGATATGTATCTGGTAGTGTTATATGCTTACGACACCGACTCGCTTTGTTGTAAGGAACACTTTTGTATTGAATAAACTCGCTCGGACATAGTAGGGTGATTAAGTCTGCAGTTCTTGTGCTATTCTTATTGTTCTGGATCTAATTACAGACTGTCGGTGTTGACATGAAGTACGTCCATAAACGATCCATTTTGCTAAGGTCCCCGTAACACTGCGAAAAACTAGGACTAAGTAATGGATACTGGGTTTCCCTTTCCGGCATGACAATAGCTTTGGTTAATCATTTCTGAAAAGAATAGCTTTTATGAGAAATAATAAAGGTGAAATAAACACAATATAATCAATATGTCCGAACCGTAAAACCTCAGCGGGTCTAGACTGGCATTCAAACCAGGGATTTCAGCTTGTTATACGTTCGATCCAACCGACTGAATATGTCTAAACGGAGAGTTAAGGGGAGGTTACCGTATATAGGTAAATCCATAGTACAGTGGGACAGTGATCCTTCAAGCATTGTTCTTTAATGAATATATATATATATTGTGCTTTCACCAGGACGAGGACAAATCGTATATATAATTAAACTACTAGTGTAACGTATCCACGTGTTCCGAACCCGGTACATATCTATCCTATAGATAAGTTGTTACTATGATGAATGACATTTACATACGTGAGTAAGTCTCCGTGGGTACCCCCACTATAAAACCCCTCCCCTTATTTTCTGTCTATATTAAATTTCAAACAAGTAAATTTGAGGAATTCTGTAATGTTCACTGTTAAACTTATGTTAGAAGAAAACTTTAGATGAATTGCAAATATAATGGATATGTGAACGTAACAGATGGCGTTATTACAGTCTCATATTTCTAGGTGTAAGTACTTCGAAGTAAATCTACTCCGATTTTTAGATGTAAATTGAAACAATCATTCTGAAGTGTTATTACTCTTTGGGCCGTAACAACTATTTCTACATCTTAGTATTCTGGGGATCACGAACTCTTATTTCAAGGTGTTAGTTCTCCGATATTCAAGAACACATATGCCTTTGTGTAAGTAACATGAGGGTAATCAAGACCAATTTTGAATATCTAAATTAAATGTGTATTTGTGCAATTTTTAGTTGTTTTATAACGGAGGAAATTACTTTTTAAATTGATTTTTTTTTTGGGAATGTTAGCACATGTGCAATTTCGTATAAATCACACTTTCATTTTTAAAATGCTTTAAACAGACAAACATTTAGATGTTACGGCAGACACGATACTAACATGTATGACAAGGGGAGATAATCAACGGAAGTTAATAACGTGTACTTATATAAACAAGGATGTGTCAGAAACACATAGGAACACCACTGACAGGTCAACAAGGTCAAACTAACCAAATTCTTTATAATTCTGAAAACAAACATGAAGATGAGATATTTATGACCGTGTGTACAGTATAAGCGTTAGGACGTGAGAATAACAGATAACAGTAACTATATAGAACTTAATGACACGAATATTCGTTATTGAATGATATTTTCCTAAAATAAAAAATAAACCGTTGTTTTGTATCTATATGATTTAGCGATTCTTCAAATTCAACATAATACGTAATGTTATCAACGACCTAGGTATCGAGTTCACACCCTAAAAGGTAAAATAAAACAAGAGGTCCGTCCAATGGGCCTGAATCGCTCACCTGGTATTAATCTCACACTTGTAATCTTAAAAGTGGACTAATATACAGCTACAGGCAAAATATATGTGTTCGATTCATTAGAATCTATTAAATGATTTAAACATATGACGCCTGTGACCTTGAAAGTCGAACAAGGACATTAAGTTGACCTTGAATATGAGCGAAGGTAATTTATTTGAACAAACCTGGTAGCCCTTCATCCCAGCATCTAAAGGGCAATATATCATAACCCTATGCCTCTTGGTAATTCAGACAAGGTCATTTAAAGGTTTTAAACATATTTGACCCCTGCGACCATGAATATATGTCATTCGTTAGAACAAACTTGGTTGCCCTTTAACTCAGCATGCTACTGGCTAAATATCATCATCATAGGCCTTTTGGTTATTGAGAATAGGTTGTTTAAAAGTTTTAAAACTATTTGACCCATGTGACCTTGAAAATGGGCGAAGGTCATTCGTTAGAACAAACTTGGTAGCCCTTTATCATAGCATGCTATTGGCCAAATATCATTATCCTATGCATCTTGGGCATGCATAAGAAGTTGTTTTAAGGTTTTAAACATATTTGACCCCTGTGACCTTGAACATTGGTAAATGTCATTTGTTTGAACAAACTTGGTAGCCCTTCATCCCAATATGCTACTGACAAAATATCATCATCCTAGGCCTTTTGGTTATTGAGGAGACTTTTTTTAAAGGGTTTTAACATATTTGACCCCTGTGACCTTGAAAATTGGTGAAGGTCATTTGTTTGAACAAACTTGGTAGTCCTTCGTTGCGAAGAAGTTGAATAAAGGTTCTAAACATATTTCACCCCTGTGACCTTGAAAATGGGTGAAGGTCATTTGTTTGAATAAACTTTGTAGCCATTTATATGAGCAAGATACTTGCCAAATATCATCATCCCTTGCCTTTTGGTTAGAAAGAAGGAGTTGTTTAAAGGTTTTTAATATGTTTGACCCATGTGACCTTGAAAATAGATGAAGGTCAATTGTTTGAACAAAGTTGGTAGCCCTTCATCTCAGCATGATACTGGTCAAACATCATTATCCTAGGCATCTTGTGTATTCAGGAGAAATTGTTTAAACGCTTTAAACATATTTGACCCATGTGACCTTGAAAATGGGTGAAGGTCATTTGTTTGAACAGACTTGGTAGCCCTTCATACCAGTATGGTACTGGCTAAATATCATCATCCAAAGCCTTTTGGTTATTGAGAAGAAATTGTTTAAAGATTTTAAACATATTCGACACCTGTGACCTTGAAAATAGATGAAGGTCATTCATTTGAACAAACCTGGTAGCCCTTCATGCCAGCATAGTACTGGCCGAATATCATTATTCTATGCCTCCTGGGTATTCAGAAGAAGTTGTATAAAGGTTTTAAACATATTTGATCCCTGTGACCTTGAAAATGGATGAAGGTTATATGTTTGAACAAACTTGGTGGCCCTTTATCCCACCATGCTCCTGGTCAAATATCATCATCCAAAGCCGTTTGGTTATTAAGAAGAAGTTGTTTTACAAGTTTCGAACATATTTGACCTCTATGACCTTGACAATAGATGAAGGTCATTTTTTTTAACTTGCTTGGTAGCCCTTTATCCCAGCATGCTACTGGCCAAATATCATTATCCTAGGCCTTTTTGTTATAGAGAAGAAATTGTTTAAAGATTTTAAACATATTCGACACCTGTGACCTTGAAAATAGATGAAGGTCATTCATTTGAACAAACCTGGTAGCCCTTCATGCCAGCATAGTACTGGCCGAATATCATTATTCTATGCCTCCTGGGTTTTCAGAAGAAGTTGTATAAAGGTTTTAAACATATTTGACCCCAATGACCTTGAAAATGGATGAAGGTCATATGTTTGAACAAACTTGGTAGCCCTTTATCCCACCATGCTCCTGGTCAAATATCATCATCCAAAGCCGTTTGGTTATTAAGAAGAAGTTGTTTCAAAGGTTTCGAACATATTTGACCTATATGACCTTGACAATAGATGAAGGTCATTTTTTTTTAACTTGCTTGGTAGCCCTTTATCCCATCATGCTACTGGCCAAATATCATTATCCTAGGCCTTTTTGTTATTGAGAAGAAATTGTTTAAAGATTTTAAACATATTCGACACCTGTGACCTTGAAAATAGATGAAGGTCATTCATTTGAACAAACCTGGTAGCCCTTCATGCCAGCATAGTACTGGCCGAATATCATTATTCTATGCCTCCTGGGTATTCAAAAGAAGTTGTATAAAGGTTTGAACATATTTGACCCCTGTGACATTGAAAATGGATGAAGGTCATATGTTTAAACAAACTTGGTAGCCCTTTATCCCACCATGCTCCTGATCAAATATCATCATCCAAAGCCGTTTGGTTATTAAGAAGAAGTTGTTTTAAAGGTTTCGAACATATTTGACCTATATGACCTTGACAACTTGCTTGGTAGCCCTTTATCCCAGCATGCTACTGGCCAAATATCATTATCCTAGGGCTTTTTGTTATTGAGGTGAAGTTGTTTGAAGGTTTTTATCATATTTGACCGCTGTGACCTTGAAAATAGATGAAGGTCAATCGTTTGAACAAACCTGGTAGCCCTTCATCCCAGCATGTTACTGGCCAAATATGATCATCCAAGGCTGTTTGGTTATTGAGAATAAGTTGTTTTAAATGTTTTAAACATATTTGACCCTTGTAACCTTGAAAATGGGGGAAGGTCATTTGTTTGAACAAACTTATTAGCCCTTCATTCCAGCATATCACTGGCCAAATATCCTCACCCTAGGCCTATTGGTTATTCAGAAGAAGTCGTTCAAAGATTTAAACATAGGGTTAAAGAAATAGGCGTGGGAATTATATGATAAGGGGCAGTTATTATTACTACATACGTTGATAAGAGGTGTAGGTTCGGGGAGTTATATAAGGATTGTCTAGTATAAGGAACATTAAGATACAGACATCGGGAGTGGACTTCAACTTAAGGAAGAGATTCTGGAACCTCTTTTCGCATAAGACAGTGAAGCTTATTTTCATTGCAAGAACTGTGTTAAAGATATTCGAGAACTATGCGCGCGTGTCGGAGGTGGATTTCTACGACGGGTGAGGACCCGGATACCACAATTCTATGACGACGAACTTTGATAATTATATGTGTGAACACTTATGACAACCGGGCTTTTATTTTATTTCTACTTTCCTTTTAATATCCTTTCGTGTGTGGCCAATGGATTTAATGATCATTATTATGTGAACGTATTATGTCAGACGTGGCATATATTTGTTATGTATATTATATAGTAGTCACATTATGACTCGAAACCGTATAGATTACATAAAGATGTTGTTTGTCTATTGATAATTAATTTACCACTAATTCTTTAAAAAATATCACCGAATTGATTTGGATATATAGCACAGGTGAAAACACAATTGTTGTTATAATTTGAATCTGTTGAGATATTGTCAATAATTACATGTACCCACTAATAGACTTCTATTTCAGACTGAAGTATAAGACTTTGAACAAGATGTAGCATTGAGTCTATGAAGAGTGGTGAGGGGATTGGAGTGGCGGGTATGTAAACAAAACAGGTTGGAAGAATGTTTACTTCCTACTTAAAAGAACTGTGATAAAGGGGACGAATGTGACACAGTCAGTGATACTTAAAAACAGTAAAAGCAGCTCATAAAATCAAATGAATTAGCCCCACCCCCCTCAAAACAGAAGGAGAAAAATATATAATTAAAAGTTCTATAAGTTATATAGAGGTTCCCCAACGAGTGATGGTTGGTTATCATGTTTATCTAACTCGAGTTAGTTAATTTTTAAATTGTATAAAGACACGAGGTTTTGTCTTTTACAATTTTAAAATTAACTAAACAGAGTTAGATAAACATGATATTCTACCATCACGAGTTTGGGATCCTTTTCTCCCATAATGTTCATATTTTATCTGGAAAGCCATGTTTCCCTTGATAGTACACTATGTAGGCATCCGATGGTGGAAACAATTGTCGTGAATCATGACGTCACAATGGAAGATGACGTCGCAAAGCATTGTTACTTGACGTCATAAGTAAATCACGTCCAGGGTGTTACCCACTAGTGGGTAACCAAAAATGTTTGCCAACTCCTAGCATGTTTATCCAATGAATCGGGAGTGAGGAAACCTATAATGATTGTGGGAAAAAGTATATAAATCCCGACCAATCTACCCTTTTGTTTCAGTCATGCTACCAGAAGGTTTATTTTCTATCTAACCAGTCTAAATACCATGGCGGAGAAGGTCTGGGTCCCACTTTTTTTACAATCATGCTAATTCATATTTTCCCTGTGTGAATGTATAAGAAGTCTTCATCAGATCAGATCATTAGAAAAATAAATTCTTGTAGTTTCTATCGACAATATCGTTAAACCCAAAACTGTCTTAACTCATTGAAGGAAAAAATCAAATGTGTCGAGGCCCTGTCACTGAGACGGTGACGTCAATAGATTTCTTGCTGGGATTTAAATCCCATGTCAATGTACAATGGTCCTGGCTGGAGTATCTTTCTTGGATTTGGGGGGTCCAATCACGTGCTTTGCTGTGTGATGCTTGGATTTGGAGGGTCCAAGCACGTGCTTTGCTGTGTGATGCTTGGATTTGGGGGGTCCAAGCACGTGCTTTGCTGTGTGTTGCTTGGATTTGGAGGGTCCAAGCACGTGCTTTGCTGTGTGATGCTTGGATTTGGGGGGTCCAAGCACGTGCTTTGCTGTGTGATGCTTGGATTTGGGGGGTCCAAGCACGTGCTTTGCTGTGTGATGCTTGGATTTGGAGGGTCCAAGCACGTGCTTTGCTGTGTGATGCTTGGATTTGGGGGGTCCAAGCACGTGCTTTGCTGTGCATGTCAATAAGCACATTTAATGAATATCGTCATTATATCCATGTGTAATATATATACATGTAGTGTGTGTGTGTGTGTGTGTGTGTGTGGAAGGGAAGTAACTCTTAGACTACATTCCAGAACTATTTTGTTTATATACTGTAAATATTACATTATAGCTCACTATGGGTGGAGGTCCGTGCCAAAAATGACATAAATTTAAAGCATGTTACCCATAGCTTACTGAAAGTGTTTTATAATACAAAATGCGAAAGAAATTACCTTATAGACATATGTAGAGGCCTTATCATCCTGCATATATTATGGTTATGCTATTTCTTTTGTAGAGATTCCATTTAACAATCAAGTTTAATTGGACAGGGAAGAAGTTAAAAAGAGGCTTTTCAGCCCTTAAGTTCACGAAAGTTATAACACGTAAGTAACATCATTGTTGAATTGATAAAGTAGGTGAACCACCGGTTCATGGTTACTTTACCTGTCTGTTCGCCTGTCGAAATAGACGTAATTATATTAATATGGTATGACTCTGTCCTTTTATCAGCTGAAATCTTGTTCCCACAATTTATTTAGACTTCGTGCATAGTACAAACAAGGTATATCGTTAGGTGTTAATTTGTTTAACGAGGGTTGTAGCTACATGTACCTACATTGCACGGTAAAATAGGAACTCAGAATTGGTACTGTGTATTTAGGGCACTGACAGTTATTTTTTACTTCAACTTTTAAAGGGTTATAGACCTTTATTATAATTTCTGAACATTGACCTATAGAAGCAATCTTTCAATTGCAATCCTAAAATGACATTTTAATTCAAACTTAGTTGTACATAGATAAGCAGGGAAATTATTTAGGGTCATTTGCAATTTTTACCTTACAAATTTAACTATGGTTTAGAACCTTTTGCACAACGAACTAGGAATACTTTCCTTTTTACACATTTAATGTTACCATATTTTTTAAGGGGCTGTACGAAAAAACCGCCTTACGGCAAAGGCCACTGACAATGAGGTCGACAATATAGCCAAAGACTGGTTTAGGTATGCAGGGGACCGAGAAGGGGGCAGACAAAAAAGAGAAGAAATTAAAAGACAGAAAGAGGCGGCGACAGCTGCACTGATGGCATCGGCTACCGATCATCCAGTGTAAAAAATAAAAAGATGGATATGAAATAATTTAAATCACTGTTTGTTTTCTTATTATCAGGCACCAATATTTTATTCATTTCTCATTTCCTGCCTTCCCAGTATTCTTTCTTTCTGTCTTTTCTTGTGTCTATCTTGACATCATCCTTAACAAAACTTAGTTGTTTATAGGACGGAAAGCCCACTACGAACAAAACACTAAAATACAGCATTGTACCAACGTTGGCCCAGCAAACGTTGTTCGTTGGTGTAACGTTGGCCCAACGTCAAATATGCACTACAATTAAGCATTGGCCCAACGTTGACCCAACATAGTTTTATAGTTGGCACAACGTTGGCCCAACGTTGTATCCAAATCAAGTAGTCGTTGGGCCAACGTTAGTCCAACATGCTGGGCCAACATTGGGCCGATTTGCAAAAGGATGTTGGCCCAACGTCATTTTCCAACGATGGCCCAACCAAACCTGATGCATTGGGCCAACGTTGGGCCAACGTATGTCTGCTATCTGGGGATGTAGTATTATAAGTATTTAGTAAATAATTATTACAAAGGTCAATTAAGATATTATCTTGATAATAGGGTGTCATCTTTTGTTTTGTTTCAGTGGCTACTTTTTTGACGAATGGCACACACGGATTTTTTATGTGTAAGCCCGGGCTTTTTCTCTACGTCGTATACGTGCAGATGGTTACGTATATCTATATAGGAAGTAGCTAAGTGAATCCAGTCTCAACTGACCAGCTATGCACGTACACATTGGTTCATTGATTATGACACCGTTGTAAGCGTCAGTCGCTTCTTGAGGCGCTTCTCAATTCTGTCCACTTCAATTCCGGTTGCATTAGGAGGTATTGAAGAAGACTTGTTTCTCAATAACTAGTGAAAATTATTTACAGGTGCAGTGGGTGATAACAAGGGTAGTATAACAATTTCATATAAGATAAGGGTATTCAGTTATAAAAAAAAAACTGACAGGCCTGTATAGACCTGTCATGATACCTGTACTTAGAAGTATAGATATTTAAAGGGTTTAATGAGTTAAAAAAAGTACTGAATTTGGATTGAACATTTGGGAAGTTGTATGTGTTAATTATATAACCCAGCTAATTAGTAGAAGCTTGGTTCGAACTTGATGGGGTGATTTATCCAGTATTTGTTTAACCTGGTCTTAAAAGAAAACAGAGATGGGGCATTAACCACTTGATCAGAGAGACCATTCCAATCATTTACAATTCTAAATTTGAACGAATGGCCACGCAGATTACTTCTACACCTCAGTTTTTCAAGTTTCTGGTTGTGACCTCTGGTTGTTCTTGTTGCATTGATTTTTAGAAAGTCATCTTTGATGTTGTCTATCCCATTTATTATCTTAAAGGTTTGTACCATATCTGACCTTAGTCTCCTGTACTCCATTGTTGGTAGCCCAAGAGCCTTAAGTCTTTCAGGATAGGATAAGTCTTTGATACCAGGGACCAGTTTGGTGGCTCTTCTTTGCACATTTTCTATAGATATCTTATCCTTTATAAGCATGGGTGCCCAAACTACAACAGCGGTCTCTAGATATGGTCTTACAAGGGATTTGTATAGGGTAATGAACATTTCTTTGTTTACACAGCTAAAGGTCCTAAAGATCATTTCTACATACAATTGATTATGATGGGTTTATGGACCGTATGTTAGATGATGACTGGAGGCAACGTCATAATCCTAGTAACATGGATGATGTGTGTATGGGGTATAAGTCTGTAAGTATAACCTAGAAAGGAGATGATGTCAGAAGAGCTAGTCGGCTAGAGACTGCATTTGGGTACAGCAACAGACGACAGAGACCGATCCTAACACTTGACGTTACCAGAATAAACTTCCAACCGACCATCAACACTTATTCACTCGTGTTTTGTTACATATTGTTAAGATTTTCCAATACTTGTGTCAATAACACAAATGTATGTGTATAGACACGTGGAGCCCGGCGTTCTACTTTGTACACCCACTCCCCTACTCCCCGCCCCTATCGTGTTACACGTGACCCTATTCTGATATCTACTTTTTACAGGTGTAACACCGTACGAGCTCAAACATCATGGCTGATCAGGGACTAAACTTCGACAATCCGCTGTTCAAGCAGTTTGCGTTTTACAGCGGTGTGGTGATTGTGAAGACAATGTCGATGAGTGTGCTAACGGCACTTAATCGGATCGGAAAGTCGGTGAGTGAAAAAAATACATGCAATACTGTTACTGAACAAGGAAGGAACACAAAGGTGTCCGGGTATAGCGTTATCAGGTTATTTTGCCTTGTAACACGTATTCAACTAGTTAGGGAGCTTGATAGGGTAGATAAAGTTACATGACATATTGACATAATGCATGTATAAGTTAACGGAGAACGTCCACAACTGTTATTGAAAAATATAATATGCAGTCTATGCATGGTTTCATCACTCATAATAACTAATATAGAGCTTACATCTCAATTTGAGTGGACTCATGTATAATATATATAAATACATAGAAATTGTAACTTTTTACTTTTGCAAAGTGCGGATCCAAACATGTTTAACTGTTGTTACTATTTTTGCCGTGTTGCCGCGGATCGAGTTGCGAGTGCCGAATGTGCGTGTGGCGAGCTCCGAAGTAGCCCGTCTGCACCATACCATTTCTTACCAGAGAATAAGTTTATTGTAATTCGGAGCATTTTGTTCGTAGACAAACTTACTATTGCATGATTTATCACAAACTACGGCTGGAAATTGACATAATTGAGGAACTTTATCCATCACTATACAATCCTATATACTTCACTACCACAGGGACCTGAGAATGAGTATAGTAAATGAGGTTGACGTCAGCCTCATGCCGAAATTTAGCGAAAAAATGGCTGCGCTTCGCCAATCACACCACGAGTACCGGCACGTAAATGATGTCAACCTCATTAATATACAAACAGTGGCCCTATGACTGCGAAAAACTTCGAAACTCTGAAATGGAGTGTGCTTTTGGATGAAACGGAGATCATGTCCGCGGAAGGAGAATACATGTTATGTGTAATTCATCTTTCCAACAGTACTAAGCATTTCCCCGTACATCAGCTAGAACCTTTGTTTTGGATGCATGACAGTTAGGTGGGATCGACTTTTCGTCATCGAGAGCTTTCCACCCTTCTCGTATATATAATCATTGCGGTGGCATTTTGACCGAAAGTCAATATAAACCCCTAAAACATGTAAAATTACTCTGAACATTCTAGTTGAGGTCTAAGTATAGCTGAAACAAATTATCATATCCCTGTGTTCAGTACGTGTTAGTATGTGCGAAGATATAACTTTAATTTTAGATTGAAAAAGAATGTTATGCATTTCAAAATAGCCCTACAAACTTTTTTTATTAAGAATAATTTATCAAGTTAGAAAAAGTTACACATAGAACACACCATGTTGCCACTTTTTAGTTAGTTAACTAGCTACTACACGTCCTGCAACTGTTATGAAAGTGTGTCATCTCAGAATGTGTTTCTGCCCGCTAATTACTAAAACAGTTGCCTTTGTTGTTATAAGTATGCGAGTTACATCAGACTGACTATGATCTCAACATACAACCTAGATAGCATCTCATACAAGGTGATAAGGTTTTGTTTAAACATATTTTATTGCCAAGCAAATGGATTGGGCACAAGTTATCAAACTTATATTAAGCCCTTTCCTAGCAAATTACAAGCATATATTTACAATAGTACAACAAGATGGCAGAATTAATATACATATATACACTATTTCATTTTTAAATGCTTTAATTTATAAATTGAAATTATAAGAGAGAGACAGAGAGAGAAAAGGGGGGAAGGGGGAAGAGACAGGGGGGATAATAGTCTGTAATTATAATACATACATCCTCATCATTATTAATGTATGACATATAGTATCTTCCTCTTAGAGAGAGTGGATATTATGGTTCAATTGAGAGAGAGGGAGAGAGAGGGGACAAGGGGGGGGGGGGGGGGGTACTAGAATCTGTTAGAGTCACGAATGTATTGCTGAGTATGCATGAATATCGTTATGTTTTCCTGTTCCGAAAGAGATGTATCTCCAAATAGAAGTAGATTTAAATTAAGAGGCATGTATTCATTCAGTTCACGATAAAGCTTAATTCTTTGTTCGTTATATATATCACAGGTAAAAAAGAAATGGTGTGTGTCTTCAATAGGGAAGCCACATATACAACGTTGGTAATCAATGAGGTTAACACGAAACAGGTCACTTTTCAAAGTACTAGAACGGTTTCTTAATTTTGTATGCAAAATATTATTTTTCCTATCACCATAGAAAAAGGGGTTTGGTACAAGCGGCAAGTTTACGTCTTGAATGGCGTTTCTAAATGATGAGAACGTGGCACTACGTCGTATACTAGTAGGTAACTGGTTCCACAGTCTAACAGTAGAAGGAAAAAAGGATACGTTAGATAATTCAAGTCTGTTGTTAGGTAGGTTGTAGTTTTCAACGTTTCGAAGATTATAGTGAGAGTTATCGACAAGGGAAGGGAGTAGAGTGTTGAGATAGTTAGGGGCTATATTATTGTGGATTTTAAAAAATAATTGAAGTTTTCGACGGGATCTCCGATGGGCTAGAGAATCCCATCCAGTTTCATTGTATATAGATTGTCTACTAGTAAACGACGGTAAACCAGTGACAATACGTCCAGCTTCAAGTTGTAATTTTTCTAATTTGTCTGAATCAGTAATAGAACAACCATCCCAAAGTTCACAACAATATTCTAGAATAGGAAGTATAAATGATCTATATATTTTATTCAGTGTACGTCGGTTCAGGGTATATTTCAATTTACGGAGGACACTTAATTGTTTAACTACTTTTTTACATATATTATCAATGTGATAGGTCCATTTACAGTTAGCATTGATGAATACTCCCAGATGCTTATGGTTTTCAACAAATTCAATACTTACATTATTAAAGTTAATTTCAATGAGGTGATCAAGATCAATATTAGAAATAAGTAAAGCCTCTGTTTTTGCATGATTGAATTTGACAAGCCACTTATCTGCCCACAATTGTATATTTACTAGATCATTATTAATTTTTTGTTCAATTACTTGTGGTGATTTATCCGAATACAAAATAGAGGTGTCATCAGCAAATAGTTTTGATAGACTTTCTATATTATCTGTTATGTCATTAATATAAAGTATAAACAGCAATGGGCCAAGAACCGAACCCTGGTGATTAGGTACATGTCCCTATCAGCGGAGCATTCAACCAGTTACTGCAATGCTATGCACTATGAAGCCCTACACAAAAGGAGTTTCGTTTAGTGTGTTACGATACTATCGTATTTCGTAATATAATTAATTTAGGATGATTCATCAGAATTGCCTGTAATGCCTTTGAACATCATTATTTATTTTTCTCCTGCACTCGTAAATTATTAAGGATTCTCTCTAAAGGTACGTTTATAAATGATATGCAAGTACTGTTTTGTATGTGATGTCGTATAGTTGTGTAAATCGATGAATCGAAACATGGATGGGTTCCGATATGAGCGCCATTTTTCGCTATGGTTACATGACGTCATTATTCCGTCCTCGATGTCGTTTTGTCCATCATTGTGATTCGGTTAAAGTTTTCGGGAAGCAAATTGAATGTGAATACGAGATAATGACAAGTTATCATGGTTTTTATAAAATATACAATCATTTTAAGATCAACTGAAGGTATATAGAATATTTCACTCGGGCTAAAGCACTTCTGAATCTCTTGAAATATATCAATCATTCAACTCGAGCAATCCACAGGGTCACGTTAAAATCACACATATGCTATACTGATATTGGTCACAACACACATCATGTTTATGTGTGTTGTGACCCATAGCAGTATAGCATATGTGTGATTGTAACGTGACCCTGTGAGCAATCCGAGACCGTAGATGAGCTAATGTGGAGTTACGTTATACACAATGTTATTTGATATATTTTTGCTGGCGACTATCAACTTGATAATACTGAATTATTCATTGGGATATCAAGAGTGATATTTGTAACATTGTGAAACGATCCCTTTTTAAATCGACCAATCAGATCCAGAGCAGTAGGTGGGTGTTTAGGTACATCTTTGCTATATACACTAGGGTATTTACTTGACTACACTTCTGGTAACATTTTGTATAAATGTTTTACCATGTAATAACAGAAATTGGTGTAACTGCTTTGAGTATCATTTTCAAAATGACAAACAGCATGGTTGTGAATTGTGACATCATCAGAATATACGGCGCCAAAGGTTACTCTGTCAATGTACCATTTTGGTACAGTAACATTTTCGCACTCGCTGAAGAAACTCTAAAATATTCATGCTTTATCTTCTATTGGAAAAAAATACCGGTGATCCGGCATACGAGTGAAATATTCATGGTAATAAACTGGTAGACATCAAATATCCTCTACATATTTACATTATAGGACCAAACGGTATTATAATTATTAACGTGACCAATTATTTAGAATTATTGCCCTGAGTATACTTTACATGACGTTATTTCCGTTTCTGCCTCCAGGTGTACGCTAACCCCGAGGACTGTGCCATAGGGAAGGCTATGGACAGGAACTGTAAGCCAACATTAACGGACCCAACCGTGGAACGCATCAGAAGGTAGGCACCGAGGTCTGTGCTGGTATCGGACCACTGATCACCAAACCTAATCCCACTCATTACTGCGAAACTAAAGAGTTCCTTAGCTTGGTTTGGTTGGGTTTGATATTGTTTTAATAACGTCCTATTAACATCATAGGTCATTTAAGGATGTGCCTCGATGTGTGTTGTACTGGAGACATACTTGCCTCCTTGTAATAGCGCGGTCTCATGGGAATTCCATGCCGAAGGCACCCAGCACAGCATTCCGCCTGGTCACATCGTTAAGCAGGGAATATCAACTACCATTTTTAAGGACTTTGGTATGTCCCGGTCTGGGGACAGAACCCATAGTGTCCCTCTCCTGGGCGAACGCTCAACATTAGGCCTACAACCAGAAGTGAGGTATTGCCAAACTAGCCGCTAGGAAAGCAATGGTAGTTAGAAGAAAGCAATGGTAGTTAGAAGAAGGGGAAAAAAATAAAGATCCCAAATGTTGCAACGGGTGCAGAAGATTTATTTTGGTTGCTTTTGTGTTCCCAAGTAGAGGGCGCAAAATTCCAAATTCTGCAGGGGTTTTTCGCATAAGTCGCCTCTCACGATACATGCAGTGGGTAACAGCAGGTGTTTTCACATGATCCCCGACCTGCAGCTGTGAGTTGTTGGGTATAGCTTGATTGAGTTTGTAGAATTGTAAATTTCATCTTCCCTATACTCTATATTGTAAGCATAAGCATCCATTTTTGTTATTTTCGTTTTGGCTCTGTGGGTCAAGGAGTAAACAACGTTTAATGCAAAGTTCATGTTGGGATTGTTTCGTCTAGATTCTCGGGATAGTATGTCCTTTCTCCTGTGACAATGAGTATTGTAACCTTTAGCCAAGGATCCTCTAGATTCATAGTAAAATAAAGTTAACATGAATGACAACTTAAATAAAAGTTATGAATTTGCTTATAATATTACATGCATTATTATATTATCAAATATCGCAGAAAGCAAAAGGCCCTGCTTAAGGTTTGATAGTTAAATGGCTGAAGCAACAGGTATACTCTAAAGCAAAGGGTGAAAATTGCCAGGACATGCTCTAATATAACATAAATGAATTAAAAAAATATTTTGTTAATTTGAAAGTATGAATCACAATGGTGTTTAATTGCTCTATGCTTAAAATCGTTTAAAGATGGTGACGAACTTACGTCATTTGGAAGTAAACAATGTGACTAGAATAAAAGGTTGTCTTGTGCTTAGGAATGTACAACAAGTTCGCGTCGCGTAGCTCTGGAATTGACACTGTTTACATGCATGTTTAAAATGAGAACATACTTAGTGATTTCAAGGAGCGAGTCCGTTTACCCATTTGAAGGTCATTGACTTTTATAATTCATACACACATTTTTATAGGTAACCTTTTTTTAAATACAGAAAACATTTCTTTCGACGGAGTTTCAAACGGAACATTTAAAATAAAGCGTGCTGCACGTTTTTTATTGTCAGAACACAAGTGTTCCACTTTCTTTTAATCATGTTCTAATTTCATTCTGACAATATAAACTGTTTTACTAGAAGCAGACAGTGCTGAGTCATCTGCGTACATGCCTGTTCTGTAAGCCAATGGTAAATTTCATTATGAATACTGAGGGACCAAGGATTGATCCCTGATGTACCCCGTGGGTTATACTGTTGGCCTCAGACAGATTTCCTAAAATGGAGACCTTTTGATACCGATCACTGAAGTAAGATTTGAACTATGATCCAGCAATGCCATCAAATTGATATATTTTCAACCAAGGTTGATCAAGGCCTTCCTAAATTCCTTAATTACAAATCAACATTAAACATATTACTATAATTCCATAGTTGTTACAGGATCAATATAAACATAAACTTATAAGAATATAAGAAGTTGTGCATGTTATCATAAAATGTGTATTTATATGTCATGATCTCATTGTGTTAAAAAAATGTTACACCCAAGAAGAATTCAAAGACTAGAAAGATACATTGTATCCCCTTAACTGAGTTTGGGGACTTACATATTGATGTTCCTGCGTTTCCTATTATTCATCTTTCTTCCGTCAATATTTTCCCTCAGAAGCTACTGTTCGAAACAAACTGTGTATGAAACCTGTCAGGAGTATTAATATGCAACGTAAATGTGCATAACCTAATTTTTTCCCGGTCAGACATCAAACATGGCCGTCGCGGCTTCTGATTGGTGGAGACTTTTTGGCCCGTAATTTTTGTCTTATTTTGTAGGTTGCAATTAAAAAAAAAAGAAGAAGTTTTTATTGTTTTGATGACACTCTTTAAGTGTGAAAAAACTGTATAGACTTTTTTTACAAAAAGGCTAAACTGACTTCTGATTTATCAAAATTTAGATATTCTAACCAGTCTTTCGTTAAATCATTGAACAAGGCGGCGTCTGATGATTGGTCGAAATTGGTGTATTGCAAGATTTTTGGATGTAGATGTATTATGACAATGTGAGCTATTTCTGGTGCATCATTTTCTTCTACGGAGAGAGGGCGGGGGCTTGTGTAATGGGCCGCATTACAGCTAAAACCTGTTGTTTTCTATGAAGGGAGATATCTATCTTAGTGAGACATAGTATATATCATTCACCGGCGTCTTTACTACTTTTTGTATTGTCCAAAGTGTTCTGAATGTAATAGACTCCCTCTGAGAAGCCCCCTGTCACCATCATTAGCTACCAGATTTTGTTCCTCGTACATACTGGGACGAGACATTCTTACTTCTCCCTACACCAGAGACACTTTTTCAATGTGCGACAGATTATTTTTCTTATTTTTTTTCCAGGTGTCATCTGAATGATTTAGAAAACGTGATTCCCTTCTTTTTGATTGGATTACTATACGTCAGTAGTGGACCAAATCCAGCAACAGCTCTGATGTACTTCCGGATCTTCACCGGATGTCGTCTCCTGCACACTGTCGCCTATCTCTGTAAAGTACCCCAGCCTTCGCGTGCACTCCTGTTTGGCGGGGGACTTGTTGTGTCATTGTGTATGGCTTTCGATGTCATACGCAAGGCCTGTTAAATGCTCTAAACGGTTATAAAACAGCAATACTATTTTTTTCATAAAATATATCTTTTTTTGTACTACTGTTTTGACAGTTTGACATTTTTAACGGTTTAATTTTTTAAATTCTAAACACAGGATTTCATTCAATGTTAGTCTGTAATTCGTTCTGATATAATGGCATTTATGTTAGCATTTTGTCCATGTTTAAACATTTCTCGTTAATCGTTTGTTTCTCTTGATTGTAATGAATGTTTCGTTTAATTCTCTGCTCGTTACATTAATTTCATTGGGATGAGATAGGATGCTATACAACAGTTGTGTAAAATAAAATCATTAACACATAATTTTTTGAATTTGTTTGTATCATAACAGGCGCGGATCCATTTATTTCAAAATCGTTGGTGCATCTGAGAGATAGTTTTGTGTTTGTTTATATCATTTTTATGCTCTTTTTATTTATTGTTCTTGACAATTTGATAGTATTCGTCCTTTTCGTAAGAAATATTCAACGACAAAACAAAAATACGAATAATGCCAACGGGAAATAAGAAAACAACAAAATAACGAGGGAACGAAATGGAACAATTTAAGCGCTGTTTCGTTCTTGTATATCTGACAATTTAGAGGTGTTACCGTTATACTTGTATATCTGACAATTTAGAGGTGTTACCGTTATACTTGTATATCTGACAATTTAGAGGTGTTACCGTTATACTTGTATATCTGACAATTCAGAGTTGTTACCGTTATACTTGTATAACTGTGTATTCAGTAGTGTAACCGTTATACTTGTATAACTGTGTATTCGGTGGTGTAACCGTTATACTTGTATATTTGACAATTCAGTGGTGTAACCTTTATACTTGTATAACTGTGTATTCAGTGGTGTTGTTATAATTGTATAACTGTGTATTCAGTGGTGTAACCTTTATACTTGTATATTTGACAATTCAGTGGTGTAACCGTTATACTTGTATCACTGTGTATTCAGTGGTGTAACCGTTATACTTGTATAACTGTGTATTCGGTGATGTAACCGTTATACTTGTATGTCTGTGTATTCAGTGGTGTTACCGTTATACTTTTATATCTGACAATTCAGTGGTGTAACCGTTATACTTGTATCACTGTGTATTCAGTGGTGTAACCGTTATACTTGTATGACTGTGTATTCAGTGGTGTTACCGTTATACTTGTGTATCTGTGTATTCAGTGGTGTAACCGTTATACTTGTATGACTGTGTATTCAGTGGTGTTACCGTTATACTTTTATATCTGACAATTCAGTGGTGTAACCGTTATACTTGTATAACTGTGTGTTATACTTGTATATCTGTGTATTCAGTGGTGTAACCGTTATACTTGTATGACTGTGTATTCAGTGGTGTTACCGTTATACTTGCATAACTGTGTATTCAGAGGTGTAACCGTTACACTTGTATAACTGTGTATTCAGTGGTGTAACTGTTATACTTGTATCTTTGACAATTCAGTGGTGTAACCGTTATACTTGTATCACTGTGTATTCAGTGGTGTAACCGTTATACTTGTATGACTGTGTATTCAGTGGTGTTACCGTTATACTTGCATAACTGTGTATTCATAGGTGTAACCGTTATACTTGTATAACTGTGTATTCGGTGGTGTAACCGTTATACTTGTATATTTGACAATTCAGAGGTGTTACCGTTATACTTGTATAACTGTGTATGCAGTGGTGTAACCGTTATACTTGTATAACTGTGTATTCAGTAGTGTAACCGTTATACTTGTATAACTGTGTATTCAGAGGTGTTACCGTTATACTTGTATATCTGTGTATTCGGTGGTGTTACCGTTATACTTGTATAACTGTGTATTCAGTGGTGTAACCGTTATACTTGTATAACTGTGTATTCAGAGGTGTTACCGTTATGCTTGTATAACTGTGTATTCAGTGGTGTTACCGTTATACTTGTGTATCTGTGTATTCAGTGGTGTTACCGTTATACTTGCATAACTGTGTATCCAGAGGTGTAACCGTTATACTTGTATAACTGTGTATTCAGTGGTGTAACCTTTATAATTGTATAACTGTGTATTCAGTGATGTAACCGTTATACTTGTATAACTGTGTATTCAGTGGTGTAACCGTTATACTTGTATATCTGTGTATTCAGTGGTGTTACCGTTATACTTGTATAACTGTGTATTCAGTGGTGTAACCGTTATACTTGTATAACTGTGTATTCAGTGGTGTAACCGTTATACTTGTATATCTGTGTATTCAGTGGTGTTACCGTTATACTTGTATAACTGTGTATTTAGAGGTGTTACCGTCATACTTGTATATCTGTGTATTTAGTGGTGTTACCGTTATGCTTGTATAACTGTGTATTCAGTGGTGTTACCGTTATACTTGTATATCTGACAATTCAGAGGTGTTACCGTTATACTTGTATAACTCTGTTTTCAGAGGTGTAACCGTTATACTTGTATAACTGTGTATTCAGTGGTGTTACCGTTATACTTGTATAACTGTGTATTCAGTGGTGTTACCGGTATACTTGTATAACTGTGTATTCAGTAGTGTTACCGTTATACTTGTATATCTGACAATTCAGTGGTGTTACCGGTATACTTGTATAACTGTGTATTCAGTGGTGTTACCGTTATACTTTTATATCTGACAATTCAGTGGTGTAACCGTTATACTTGTATAACTGTGTATTCAGTGGTGTAACCGTTATACTTGTATATCTGACAATTCAGAGGTGTTACCGTTATACTTGTATAAGTGTGTATTCAGTGGTGTAACCGTTATACTTGTATAACTGTGTATTCAGTGGGTTTCATGTCGAATATAGGACCTGCATTATCAATCACGAATGACAATTGGGTGTACATGTTATATATTTTGTGATACTGAACGGGGAATTATGTACTACCTATGTCAGTTTTCATGTCAGTAGCTTGTGACGTGGACAAGGAACAGGTCCGTGTATCTTCAGCCTCGTCAGTGTGACAACACACGACCCTGAGTCGTTATTACAACACCCAGATATGTGTCGCTATGACAACACTCAAACCTGTGTCGCTATGACAAACACATATACGTGTTGCTATGACTCACACACGTACGTGTTGCTATTAACACTCACAGATGTACGTGTTGCTATGACAACGCAAACACGTATGTATTGCTATGACAACTCGCCGGTGTCGCTATTTATACATTAACTTAAACTTTATTAGCAAACAATTTCTGCAGCCAGGCTTAATGACAAATAACGATAGCATTTGGAGCAAGATTTTGTTTTTATAATAATTTTGAAATATAGATGTCCATCACAAACATAAACGTAGATTGTATTTTGTAACCCCAACAAATATTTCATTATTAAGTGTACATGAAGACAGCTAGTTCTGTCCATATATCAACTAGATTAATTTTTCAGCGTTGACTGGTGTAAACTGAACATTATATTGTACTGAACAACATGTGACATTTGGCGCAGCACGTGTACATTTGTTTTAGTGTACCGATTGTTCATTTGTTTTGGTATAGGACGTGTACATTTGTTTTTGTATAACACGTGTACAATTGTTTTTGTATAGCACGTGTACATTTGTTTTGGTGTAGAACGTGTACTTTAGTTTTGGTGTAGAACGTGTACATTTGTTTTGGTGTAGCACGTGTACATTTGTTTTGGTGTAGCACGTTTTGATATTCTGGTTTAGTTATTAGCTCACCTGGCCTGAAGGATCATAGTGAGCATATGCCGTGGCGCAGCGTCCTTCGTCCGTCGTCCGTTGTCGTCGGTCGTCAAGTTTTTCTTTAAAACGCATCTCCTCCTAAACATCAGAGAGGATTTCAACCAAATTTAGTCTGAAACATCAGTAGGGATGGGCAATGATGTCTTTAAATAAGATTGGTTCGACCCCTGAGGGCAGGTGGGCGGGGCCCTGAAGGGGAACTTAGCTAAATTTGCTTTAAAACGCATCTCCTCCTAAACACCAGAGAGGATTTCAACCAAATTTAGTCTGAAGCATCACTAGGGGAGGGCAATCATTTCTTAATTAAATGAGGTTGGTTCGACCCCTGAGGCCAAGGGGCAGGGCCCTGAAGGGGAACTTAGCTAAATTTGCTTTTAAACACATCTCCTCCTAAACGCCAGAGAGGATTTCAACCAAATTCAGTCTGAAGCATCAGTAAGGGAGTGCAATCATTTCTTAAATAAATGAGGTTGGTTCGACCCCTGAGGGCAGGTGGGCGAGGCTCTGAAGGGGAACTTATGGTTTTATATATAAAACCAGGTGAGCGATACAGGTCCAATGGACCTCTTGTTATACACGACCCACCGGCCGTGTTAAACTGGTGTTAACCAGGATATAGTCGAAGTGTCCAAATCCTTACACACATACACATACTGTCATATACAAAGGCGTAACTGAACCGAGACGATCTATCTGTGAAAACAACAACATGGCCACTGATACAGGACTGACATTCGACAACCCCGTGTTTGCCCAGTTCGCACGTTATGGCACTGTGTGTGTGTTCAAGACGATGCTAATGAGTCTTATAACCATTAAACAGAGGTTGAGTAGGAAGGTAAGGGTTTTACGTCATATAGAAACGCTAGAAATGTGGAAGACTTTCAAAATGAGGTGACAACAGCATAATGCAAAATTCATAAACATATCTTAAACACAAACTTTCATTGTATGATAACTGAAATACAGAGTCATTTTACAATGCTTGTTAATCATAGTATGGTATAATACACTCATAACTTGATAAAGAGTGGCATATATGGTATGAACCGGTCAACTGTGATGTAAATGCGTTACTGGTTTGTTCTGTTAGAACCTTAGCTTGTAAACGAGTAATTATGTTACACGTAACTACTAGTATGCTCTAAATCCGCAAGATAATTATCCCACCTACATCACACCGTGCATTACACTGTAAGGTGACTCGGAATGACATCCCATGACCTATTGACCTCTGTATCCGTATCTCAAGTATCAATAAAAACCTTCCTCGTGGCTCCCCGTACATGAGTGACGTTTTGATATGGAACGTGAATCTAAAACACGGTTTCACGACGCTTTCATCTTCGACATTAGTTATTCTACAAATAGATACGGTATATGTCTATTAGGGACCAACAGATAGGGTTAACTCAACAGGGAGGAAGGGTACAGACAGGGTTTACAGAGTGGTAGG